AAAGCCTGTATAACTAATTAAAAATAACATGGATCCCATATTATTAATATGACTTTTTACAAATTTCATTCATTTTAAGAAAATCCTTTGAAATCCTTTTTCTCTAGTGCAGATATAAGTCAAAAGCTTTCAGAAAAGTGCCAGATTAAGCAATTAATTAATGGCAACGGTGAATATTTGTTTGCATCGGGAACCGCTTAAAACTGCAAAGTCCTGCCTGAAGTCCTGAACGTTCAATCTAAAATCGGAATCTAATTGTTGAAGGATATTCCAAAAGGAGCTGGCAGTTGCACTCGGATCTATCATAAATCCTCAAAAATCAACGCACTGATTAACGGACGACAAATGCGTCGACTACGTGTTGCGAATGCGGATGTGGATGAGTTTATGGATGAGGATGTTGGGGGTAGGGATGATGGAAAGCTGTCATTGGACAGGAGCTGTAGAACTAAATGAGAAATGAGATTTGGACAGAACGAGGATGAACGGATGTTGGCCGCAAAAACTAGCCAAAAACTCTGTTTCGTTACAATCTGTGCGGTTGACCTTTGATTAGCAACAATAAAAGTGCTGATTGCCGGACTGATTGAACCACCTAGCTAGATCCCAGTCTAACCATCCTGTGGGTCGAATTATGTAGATTTGATGAACACATTTCAGATTGAAAACGGACACCCGCAACAATATTTTGTGCAATCAAGGCGGATGAAACTAGGCAATGGTCCAAAATGGTTCAAAAATGGCATGGGGCATGGGGCAACCCCAATCTGGGTAGCAAACAGTGGATAACCTGTGGGACCAGAAGCACACCCAGCTTGTTGTGCAATTTTGATGGCCCATAAAGCTGACTTTGTTCGGTTTAGTGGCCGTTGCCTAGGCGAGTTACTCTCCAACAGTTTTCTGGGTTTTATGTTTGATTTAACGGCAGTTCGAAGCTGTCGTTTCGTGTTTGCTTTCCATTTGGTACCCGGTTGCCAGGCACTGGGACAGTTCATCCGATACGAAGGATCTCCAATCCCAATTTCAATCCCAGTTGCTAGTTCCCAGTCCCCAGCCCAGAAGTATGCAGCACATTTTTCAATGCAAACATTTTCCTTCGCACTGGGAAAATAAAGATTTATGTAAAATTTGACGCGTAAAGTTCAACAAAAGCAAAACCCATATCCCCCTTTTCAGTTCTTCCAGCAAATTTCGTATATTTATTTACCTTCTTTTTCCTTTTTCTTCTGTTGCTACCATGTGCTTTGTGTTCCCGAAAATATGCAAATTCATGCAGGATTTTTACAACACTGCGTGGACCGCACATAAATTCCCTCTCATGTATGTGGGGTAAATTTCTTGGAACCAAGGCCTTGGTCAAAGGCTATATCTGATGGCTTCTGTCGAATCTGAAGGCGAGTGCCAAAGATTGCCTGACATTTGTCAAGAGTCAAGGGCAGGAAAGTGAAAGGATTTAACATTTATACAAATGCCCGAATCTCAGATTTTCTGAAAATCACACTCAACAGTTGTCTGGCTAAAAATAAGGCTACTACAGGGCGATGCATCAAGGGATAAAAAGGGAGTGGTCAATGGGCACTGTAAAAAATTAATCCTTAAGTTAAAAGGTTAAGTTTTTATTTAATTAATTTAAGTGAAATGTATACTATTTATTTTTTTAAGCTGAGTTTATAGGTAAAATTTCTTTATATAAAATTTAAATATGTTTAAAATGACATTCAGCCATTTTTCTTTTTGTCTCTGTTACTTGGTTAAAGTGTTTCGCATGAATTATTCGTCTGTTACCAATTTGCGATGCCATGGCCAAAGGGCAAATGATTTACAGCCCTGTCAACTCTGCAGATTTCACCTGCTTTTAATGGCAGCTGCAGAGATTGGTCCTTAAGGTCCTGTCACTAATTAAAGGATGGGATCCTTTCATGGGCATTTGAATGCGGAAAACGGCGTTTAGCCACCGCAGACGTTCATAAATAAAGGAGCAACTCCATAACACGCTTCGTCTGCGCGAGTTTTGCTCTTTTGATTCTATTTCTCGGATACGGATACGGGATTTTTCGGTAATTTTCAGCTTATGCTGGCCTTCGTTTTCCATTTCATGGCCAACTGCGTTGCGGCATGCAAAAATTCCACTCCCAACTGCATAACGAGTACAAATACCGATGTCGATGAGAATGGGCCAAATGGAAATGGATATGCGAATGGAAAATGGAGATGGGAGAAGGCAGATGGGAGTTGGAGACGGAATAATGAAGGAAGGGCAAGTGGAAGGGAGTTGGCCACCAATAATACTCGGAAAATGCTTTTTCGGTTTGATTTCGCTTTCCTCTCGTTGGCCATTCATGAGTTTTCATTTCATTTTCGCTTATTGCTTACATTTTGCGTTCTGTTGCCGGGTTTCCCATTTCTAATTTTGTATTTTCTATTTTGTGGATGGAGCTTTGGAGAATGGTGGATATGGAGGATTTCTCTTTCACAACAAAATAGTTTTGGTTTTTCCCGCCTGCACTTGGCCCCAATGGAGATAAGTGGAGGGCGAAATAAAACGAGTGAGAGAAAATGGAGATTTTCCCGAGGTGCGAGTGTGGGAATGTGTGGGTGTGAGTGCCAGGATCTTTGCATGTAAAATAAAAGCTTTGCTGAAATTGAAAAACTTTTCCAATATGTGCTTTTTCTTGCTTTCGTTACCCATTTTTATTATTGCATTATATTCGTAGATGGGGATGCAGCTTTGTGGATATTTTTATTGTTTCATTTCAGTGGCTCCTTTTTGGGTGGTGGGTGGTGCTCTGTGGGCGTGGCATTTATGATATGCAGCTGCAATACTCCTAATCCCTTTTCAAATTGAAACTCAGCATTTTCCCCAAATTCTGCCAAGTCAGGTGAGACCTGGGCAAATTGAAAACAAAGTTCCACATGTCACTGGAGTCATAGGGTTATATTTTTGAATTTTCCAGGAAAATCCCTTTAGCCTAACGAAAATCCGATAATGACACATTTTTAATGACGACTTTTTGCCAGCAGTCGTCAAATGATAGCCAAAGTTTTCCGCTAATTATCCCAAAGGCCAGAGTATAATTCCCAGATTTTCCTTCTTTTCTGTTTTTTTTTTTTTTTTTGCAACATCGAAAAAGACACTTGGAAGCGGAAAAGTGCCCACATTGGGGATAAACAAGGAAGACGAAAAAAAATAAAAGAAAGCCCCATAAAGGGTACGAAAATGAAGGGAAATAAAATTAATGCGTGGAAATTCATAAGCCCCGGACGTTTTGCTGGCCCAAGCCAGTTGGCAATTTGAGGCACATTAAGCGACTTAATTACATGCGGCCATTTAATTTTATTTTTCTTGGCCATGGAAATGGCCCTGGAAATGGCTTTTGCACGCATTTAACTCGCAGATTGCACTTCCGCTGCAGTGACAGCTGCATCAAATTGACGTTTGTATAAAATGCCATAAATCAGCCGGGACAAGCGCGAAGTCCTGCTCCCAGAGCTGCGGGTCAAGTCTCATAGCCATATACATATATATATATTCCGGTCGAGATTCCAGAATCAGGACACATCTTCTTGGCCTGACAGCAGAGACAAAATAAAAAAGGACACTCGCTGCCTTTTGCGTCATATTTAAATGTATGACTGCGTATAAATAAAAAGTTGTCCTGCCGAGGACTCTGTCAGTTAATTTCACGCTGCCAGGATCTGTGAGTAGGCCGGGATGATGAAGTGCGTCTGCCCAGGCGGAGGCATTATATAAATGCACAGAGAATAATTTAAATTAAAATTTAACCCTATTTATTAAGCTATTTATTTTAAATATTTCTGAAATATTTTTAAGAAATTTAAGAAATATATCTAAACATTTTCTATTAATCTATTTAAGTGAAATAAATTGAATATTGAAATTTGCTTAATATTAATTCTTTTACCTACCTTTACTGACTTGGTAAATCATAAAAAAATGCTCTAAAACATGTACTATCAAAAGTAGAAAATAAGTTTCTGTGCACACCAACGGCCAAATAAGTAAAGCATATTGCTACATAGGGCATAAACTTGAATGCAAGTTTAACCCTTTTTGCCGTATGTCTCTATATATTTCGTATATGTTTTACGATTGTCATAGGGGCGACCCAAACAACAATTGACAGCCATATTTGCCTATCTTAATTCCTTGTCACAAACGAAAATTGGCACTTTCGGAATGAAAGGATTGTGTGTTTTGGAGTGTTACTTTGGGGACAGCTAACTGGCTGATAACCGTAGCAATTAAAACCGGAAATAAAGTCACCGCATGCGACCGAAATCGCCACTTTTTGAGGAAGGTTATCATCAAAGAACTTTTTCAACAGGAAAAAGAAAGCAAAAAAATGAACTGCTATCTAGGGAAAAACTTTCTGATGTGAAAAGGCATGCAAAGGTGGCGGGGGTTGGGCGAGAGACGCCTGGACGACCTTGAGCAGGTGCAAGGTTCCCAAAATTCTGCGCAGCACTACACACAAGCAAATACACACTCATACAACCGAAATTGCAATCTAAATTAGCCAAAACCCTTGAACTCGATACATTTCCCATTGTAGCTCATTAGCTCGTTGTTGCTTTGCTCTTTTGATATCCGGCTTTAATTGTAAGTTGGCATTGTTGCATTTAACGCATTAGCCGAAGGGGCTAACCATTTCCCCTTCATTTCCCTGAATTTTCATATGGAAACTCTCTTTTATTCAGCGGATGTTCAAACTCGAAACGCATGCGCTCTCTTAGCTTTAACTTTTGGCTGACTTTTGTTCAGAAACAAGTTCTCTTTGATTCGGAAACTAAGTTCGCGTTTTAAATCAAGCAGTGTTTTTCAATGAGCTTAACTTAATTTCAAGCAGCTTTTGCAAGGGACCTAAAATTTCAATATCTGGAAATTTAACTAGGTAAACCATTTTTAGCTTATTATAATTATAAGTTATTTAAAGCTTAACGCTTACATCTATAAAATTTCCAAGTAGAAACACAATTAATTTACAAATCAATTTTCTTGTTTTATTGAACACAATACTACAACTAGCTGATCGATGTTGAATGCCGGATTGGTTGGTTTAACAGGATGACAATTTTGGATGAGTGGCAAACATTTGATACAAATATTCGTCTGTACAAGTACTGGTCTCTTGCATGAACAGTCCTCCGCCTCTTACACTTTTTTTTTTATTTTTGTTACTTAACAAGCCAAAATTTCAAAAATGGGAAATAACTATAATTCACATGGCAATTGTTGGGATATTTAAATAAAATTCTTTAGGGGTTCAAGGCGATGGACAGAAGGTGTTAAGATGATGATGATTGATCCTGGTGGTTTTGGCTAATGGCACTACACAGTAGCTATTAATGGCCTAATACATTGAGCGGCATTTTGGATTGGCAAATGGATGCGGCTGTGGTTTTTAAATCAACCGCGCCATGTGAGTAGGCTCCATCCACGACTTGGTTTCTTGGTGCTGGAGGGTTCCTGCTGTTGCTGCTGATCCTGCTGTTCCACCTGCTGTTCCTGCCGCTGCTGATTCTGCTCTATATAGGTGCGTAGTACGGTATGCTTGAGTACGGACTTCTCGAACTCGGCCGCACTTGGCCGATACGCCTCGTATTTGTGCTGATACCGGCCAGCCGATTGCGATGGTTCCGTTGTGTAGGCGTGGCTGCCGCCCCTCGTGGCGCTGCCGAACGAACTGCCGCCGCCGATGGACGACGTTGATGGTACCGCTGCCTGTGGGTTGAATGGGGAGGGATTGGGTTTGTAGGGTTGGACGGTCTTGGGTTTGTTATAGCTGAGCTGGTTGTTGTTAATGTTGTTAGTCGGCTGATTGTTATTGGCGGTTTGGCTGGGAGGGCTGCTCTTATAGCCGTACTCATACGTTTCAATTGTGTTCGCTCCATAAACGCTGTTAGCCGCTGGCGAAGATCCGGGAGCAGCGCAGAGTCCTTGGTAGCGGGATGAGGGTTTCATGCCGTAGGTGGAGCAAGAGGGCTTGCCAACCTCATAGGGATTGTAGCCGACCACGTTGCCACTGCAAAATAAAAAGAACAAATTATAAGTTTTTGGTATATAGATTTTAATAAACATGAAAAATACAATAGAAACAGTTTTAACTTAGAATTAAATGCTTTAATAAATTTAATAAGAAGACATGACTCTAAAGACCTTAAGCACAACCATAACAACTTTTATATGACATTTATGCTTGATAAGATAAAAATAGTTTGAATAAGCTTATTGTCTTTTTCTATAAACGGAAACCAATTTTATGATATCTATATTGAATAAATTATATTTTAGAGCGAGGAAGCTCGGCTTTGTATTAAATAAAACTGTAAAACAAGCAAAAATTATTTGCATTTATTAAAACGATATTTTTAGGTTTCTATTCTTTACATTGACACCAAATTATAAACAAGTAAAAGCAACATAGAAATCTCAATAAATAAGTTTTTAATATTTTTTAACTAAGTGAGTTTTTGTATTATTTTTTTTAGAACTTACCCAGGTCCGTAGTTGCAGACGTAGAGCTTGTTGTATTTGCTGGTATCCTTGTACTCTGCAAATCCACAGCCCACCAAGCTGGTCTCACCCCAAACCAATTGGGAATAGTGACCAGTTTTGGGGGACCAGGCATCTCCGAAGGAGTACTTCTGAACCTCGTTAAACCAACTTTGAATGCGAGAGGGGAAATCACCGTCATCGGCGTCCAGAGGAGCCGTACTCCAGATGATGGCCAAATTCTGACCCATCGTGAAACGATCTATTAATGGAAGGAGGTAAGCTGTTAGTTTGGTTTTTTATTTTTTATTTTGGGATAGAATATTGGATGATGAAGGTGCCGGGCATGCAAGGTTAGTCTTAGTGTTTTATAAGCTCTCTAAGCAGGCAGAAAATGGAAAATATGATAGATCTTAAGAACTAGACACATGTGGGTGGTCATTAAATAATTTCCAAAAAAAGTTTGATTTTTAAAATGTATAGCATTTCGCCTAATTGGCTTAATGACTAATATTAATTCCCAAATTATTACGATTAATCACTAATCAAACCAAAATGAATTATTTTTTAGGCAAACCTTTTAACGCATCGCGTATTTACCCAAAAGGTATTACCAAGTGATTAATTAAAGAAATTCATCTGAATGGCAGTGAAAGGTGCCATAAAAAGTGAGGAATATATATTAGACTTTTGAGTTGATACATTCTCTATAAATAACGATGTCTAATCAATAAAGTTTAATGACCACCCCAATGAGTTTTACCATAAAGAAGATACCGAAGATAGAAACGCGCCACATGCATTGCGCGGATTGGATCCAAGTCCTGGTTTTTTGGTGTGAAGATGTGATGGAGGATCAAAGGATAAATAAAACGGAAGAACTTACTTATTGTGCGGTGTGGATCGTGACGGAACTGACAGTTATCAGCCCATTTCTGGGCACGGGCAGCCAGCTCGTCATCCCAGACGATCTCACGCATATTCTCGGCACCCGGCTGACCCGGATAGCGTCCCGTGGCCACGAGCTGCCGGAGGCGATTGTGCTCCTGCAAGATGATTGATCTCTCTTCCGTCGTGATGCCCGATGCTGAAATGATTAGGTCGAGATTAGCATAAATTAAAAACCAAAGAGTCGCTGAGAAGTGGAGGAATCATGGAGGAAATATGCATGAGACACGCAGCTGGAGAATTTTATCATTTCTATTTTTGTTTGCATTAAAATGCTTGATTTTTTCAGAGATCTCTTTCGAGCTAGTGTGTTTCTCCTTTGACATCGACACGGTGATACAGCTAGAGATGAAGACGAGCTCCAACAACTCTGTCCACCCAAGGAAGCCGGTTTCTAACGAGCTAATATTTGTCGAAATCTCTGTTGCTTAGGCTTTGCCTCACAGAAACCTTAAGTGGGGGCCGCCAATTTATATTGGTTTTATTGGTTTTACATATATTTTAATTATTTGCCCGGCGACATAATATTCGACACTTACGTGTGCTCCAAATTGTCGGCGATTTGTGTTTTATGTAACCAGCCGGTTGGCCTGATCACAAGACATCTGTGTCACTTTCCTTAAAGCGTTTTAGCTCCCCAAAATCTAACCGGTTTTCTGCTTTTATTTCTTTCGATAAAGTTTGCCCATTCAAATAGAACACAACAGAACGAAACAAAATGAAATGCAAAAAGTTTGCGGCGCGTGCTGCTCAAAAGGCGTCAATTAAAAATCCCACAGCTTGCCATTAGCCAAATTTTGATTTGGATTTTATTCAAAAGTCATGATCCCACTACAACGCCTGATTCATGACGTCGCTTTGAAGTGTGTCAGCCAATCAGCCACGAAAAGTGGACGCAGTTTAAGCCGAATTGCCTCGGGGTGTTAATTACTTCAGAGATCGGTTAAGAAAAAACCAAAAAAAAAAGGGCTGTGACGGAAGTGAATCCTTGGGGAGTGCCCCATTTCATTTAAATAATTACGCGCGCTTAATAATTTTTAATAATTATAATAATGGAGCCAGGCGATGGGCGCTGATTGCCCAACGCGACGTGATAGCATTTAAGCCAGGCTTCCAGCTTCCAACTACCAACTTGCAAGTTGACCATGGCTTTTGCCGGCCGGTCAAGTGCCGGGACGTGTCTGTCGGAATCAGATTTAAAGTCAGACAACTTGACGCGCCCGAATGTTGATCGGCGTTGGGTAAACAAAATTGGCAGCTTCGCTCAAATATATGGGTCTAGATGTCAATACTCGAAGCGGTGGGCCAAACAAAAGCCGAGAATGCTAAACACGGCGTTTGCCTCGACTTAATCTTAATACATAAATGCTGCTCAAGGCTGTACTGACTAAAAATAGCCCATGAGCGATCGATCGATCAGAATCGAAGAGTCAAAAATCAAAAGGTCTGAGACTCTGACTGAGACTGATACTCAGACACCGAACAACCGCAGCTGTCAAATTATGCTACATTTGTATCAATGCGAAAGCCAAAAACCGGTAGGCGAAAGCCCAACGAAAACGAAGAAGCAGGCCCAGAGCTGTGTGTTTAAGTCACCAATGGGCATCAATCATCCCGGCAAAGCCTTATATATATATTTCCCCTCGGATTTTGTAGCTGCGATGCTGCGGTCGTTGCAATCCAGTGGGCGCTATGCAAATTTGTGAACTACCTTCGCTGACAAATTGCACATAAAGCTGTCGATCAGTTTCCGTTTGCGGACGAGTAACAAACCGCTGAGATAATGTTGACAACGAAACGTCAACAGCTCGCAGTCTTTTTTTTCAGTTTTGGTCTTGCCATACTCAAAAAAACGAAAGACTCAGGCAACGAACGCAAAACCAGACCGCTCAGCCAAATGCCGACAATATGTTAACAAGTGCTTAACTGCAGCGGCGCATCTTGGCCAGGCGTTGACTTCACCTTGAAAAAAACATATAAAAAAAGAGCAGAAAAAAAAGATATCTGGCCCAAAGGAAGCGGGCTAAGTGGCAGGGACTGGGTACACGACGTTGAAAAATACCCGACGCATTTAGCGCGAGTTAATTTTCATAGTTATGCTTTATGTTTCGTTTCATTTTCATTTATCATTTATCATTTACTGATTATCACTACAACTAGCCTTGTGCCCTCTACATATATTTAATTACATTATTAGCACGGCGGGCTTTTGATTGATGCCGCAGCAAAATGCCGAGGCTTAACAGCCATGATACCATCCGAAAGTGACATGGGATTAAATGGAGATCCGATTGGGGAAACTGGCCACAAAGTAACCACCATTTAATCGGAAACCAGCCAATATCGAAGACAAAGCATAAAAGCAATCATCAATCAGCAAATCGCACACGCGCACTATAAAAATCTTTTTGTTTTCATTTCGCATTTTTATTTTATAGCAAATTGGGATTTTTTTCTTCTTGATGGGTGTTTAAGCGCCGCGTGTGCAGAACAAAGAACATTAAAACGTTTTTGTTTTTCGGCCACCTCGAGCTATTTTTATAACTATTTCTATCAGAAAGTCATAAGCGTGGCTCGTTCAGCTCAATGACCCATTAAAAATCGAGTAATTTGTATAATTTTTTAAGCGCTTTTGAGACGCCCGGTAACTTAATTTGTTTACAAATCTTGAGCTCGGCGACGGCGACTTTGGTGTGGCAATTAAAATGCCAAAGTCAGTTCAATGAGCTCTTTTTTCACACCCGATTATTAGACGACACTAATCGTTTTCAAGGGTTCTACAAAAGCTACTCTGATCTCATTTGATTTCTGAGGGGACTTCGGGATTTCGAGTTGAGTGGCCTTTCGACTGGATGAGCCGTTGACAGTTGATAGGTCAGCCACCTAAAATACATTTAATTCATTTCGGCACTGGCAAATAAATATATTTTTCAAAATTATATAAACCCGATATTTTTGAACCGGTTTCCATCCCGATTGAAGCGACGCTTAAGTAATATGCCGCCCGTATTTCTAAACTATTTATTATGCAATATATATATGAATACTTTGTTTAAAACTGGAAAATGAAGAAAGGTGACTCGTTTTATGCGAGTGCTTGTCTATTTTTGGTTAGACTAGCCAAACTGGCAAATTAGCAGAAAATTTAAATAATTTCAAAGTAAATAAAAGTTCTTGAACACCCCTCGCTAGAAACAATCGAAGGCAGATTTAAACGTATGTTTTTTACCGGCAAATATTTGCACTTCACTGTATTCATTCACACACCAAATGGCTGAAACGTGTAGCCAAAATGAACTACAAAAAAAATCAATAATCATGCTAGACATGCCCTGAAATTCTATTTTCTATCGGAACACCCAAAATTCCTGAGCTGCATATAGATTGGTGGGACCTTGATGGGAATTTCTTGTATAACTTACCAATAATCTTTCCATTGCAGGCGAATGCCACTCCGCAGGAGATGATCATGATGGTGGTTAGTAATAGAGCACTTTGCTGCATCATTTTGGTTATGTAATTTTTAAGGTTTAAACAACACGTTGATTTATTATAAGCACTTTCTTAATTCTTTTACAAATATAACCTTTTCATAAATGACAGTGTTATATTTGGTATTCCATACACTTTAGATTTGAAATTTTGTTAGAATTTTTTCTTTTTGATATCACAATTTTGAACGTTGGGCGGTTGGGTTAAGGTGGGTAATGGTGGTGGTGGAAAAATAGCCGCCGTTTGCCAGAAACCGAAAAAAAGAGCGCCACGAAAAAAAGCCGACGACTCCAACTCCACTCTCGTGTACGTGCAGCTAGACTTGAAGGCGTCGCCTGTTTGATTAACCGCTCGGCGGCGCCAACGTTTTTATACCGCCAATCGCCGGCAGAGGCGGCGGCAGCAGCGGTAAAATCAGCAGCGGCAACAGCAGCAGCGGCAGTAACATCAGCTAAAAAGAAGCTACCGATCGGAATCCCCCGGGCAAGAAAAGTGAGCAAAGTAAGAGAGCCGCGTAAAAAAACGCTGCGCCGCCGCAGTTGGCAGGTTAGCAACATGTTGCTAAAACACTAGCAACATGTTGCTACTTTGGTCTTGATATTTTGTGTTCTTTTAACCGGCGTAATTGAAGATTGAACTTTATATTAATCATCCTGCTGGTTCGGCAACAATCACTCGCCTTCACGGTGGGCGTGGCAGTTGGCCAGGTCGCTGGGAAAACTGTAAAAACCTACGAAAAGCAAGCGAGCAGGTGCCCTGAGGGCAGGCAATCCAAGTCGAAGCTTCGATCATTTCGCGTATCATTAAAAACCAATAAAAACACCCAATTAAATGCACAGTCGCCGCGCACAAGAACAAATGCCACTTGATCCTTTCACCATCATCGCCAGTGGGGCATTCACATAAGAGTATGTTTGCATGTGTATGGGCATATCTGCCCATTCAACCTGGCCCTGTTCGCTTATGCTCCGCGCATTTCCGCTTCGCTCTGGCTTCTTGCCAAAATAATTACGCGTACAAAGCCATTAACAAGTACAAACGATTGCGCCGGCCCAGAATCGCAGACCAGAGCCTTCTTTCAATCCAGAAAAATCCTATAAGCACACTGAGCGAAAATTAAAGCTTATTCAATATTAAATTTATAGATATAAAATCGAAGGCGTGTGGTAATCCCCCTTCTGTAGATTAAGCTTCCAACAAGACATAGATATATCTTAAAAAAGTAAACTAAAATACATTTTTATTAGAAATTTAACTTTTTTCCAGAATTATTAAGAAGTCACTATTTAACTTTTCTCCTCTAACAAATACCTTTTGATAAAATGATATTTTTAGATATATAATTTTAATAATAATAATAATATTTTTCTTAAGTGTGGCAACTGCTAACTGGTTCTGTTTATTTCACCTCGTTTTAGTGCCGCTGATGCCGCTGACCATGTTGATGCCACACATGACGTTTTGGGCGAGGGTCCCTATCTTGGGCTCTGGGCTCTGGGCTCCGACTCGGACATGGGCTCCTTCTCATTCCCAGATTCTGTCCCAAACCCAGTGGCAGTGGCAGTTGCCAATCCCAGGGTAACCAGTAACCAGTAACCAACCGAACAACGACCATTGGGAGGCAAGTGATCAGCGTTCGGGGCAACGGCAGTGACGTCTCCGCTGCTCTGCTGATTTATTTTATTTCGCGAAAACTACATAAATATTAAAAATTATGCTTTTCAGAAATATGAAATAAACATATGCCCGATACATGTTCTTTGATGTACCTCGACGATGGCGATGTTGCTCCCCAGGTTGTCGATGTTTTTGTTTCGCGGCTAGTTTACATTTCCTACTCGAGTGTGATTTTATTTGTGCTGGAACAATACCCATGCAGCGATGAGATTTAAACAAACATTATTGGCCTTCGATTGTCGATTGTCGGTGTTTGCATTTCAATAAACCTGCGTGAATCTGTCCGATCTGTCTGCGTAAGTATATACGAGTATATATATATGTATATATTCTCGTATATTCATGCATGTTAAGCAAAGTAAAAAATTCCCCAACACCTCATTTAACTCAATTTAACAGCACTTGGCATCATCCACTGGCTATCTTTGTTGCTTTTTTTTTTTTTTTAGTTTCTGTAGTTGTTGATGTTCCTTCGATTTGCCTTTGTGTAGTTTTATGACTCAATTTAATGTCTTTCTTGCGTTGCGCGTGTGCTGTCCATTTGGACATCGGCTGCCACCCACTGGACCAACATGTTTCATTCTTTTAATTTATTTCATTTCATTTTTGTTTTCGACCATTCAAAACTTCAGTTGTCGGAAGCGGTCTGTACTTTCCGCTGAAATCCTGACGGTTGCATATTAATTTTTATAAAGTCATCGCTTCAACTTAAATGACTCAGGCGACCCAGTTGTTTTTAATCGATGCAAGGAAAGTGAATCGTCCACTGATTCACTCCGACGGAGAAATATCACTGGGTTTGAGTTCATAAATGCCGTTAGGGGGTTACACGGAAATTGAGTTAACGTTTCTCCATTTTACCAAGAAGATCAAAGAAGTTACGCAAGACAGGAAGCAAATCTAATAATTGATCAATTTTTTGTTAGAAAATCCATTATATTTAATAGTGATTTGGTAAAAATATACAAAGATAGGGGTTAATATCCCAATTTTATGGAACAGTGGGAGATGATTGGGAGTGCCGTAAACAATTTAAATTAAGATAACATTTATGGCCCACGCTTATATTCCACGATCCCAAAATAGACAACAAATTTAATGGCTACTAAAATAAAAACGAGTTTCTCTTAAGAACTTCGCATGCTAACTATATATATATATAAGATATTTCTGAATTTTATACTTTTAGATAAAAGAAAGTAAAACAAGATACAAGAATGAATAGATTTAGCTAATGAATATGCAATAGCAATTGCCACACTATCGGTTAGAAAGTCAGAATGCCGTCAATAAGGTCATCAGCCATGTCATAGTGATGTTAACATGGCTTTTCCATTCGATGATATAGTATAACAATCTAGCAAACGAAGGTTGCTGATATTTTCACTCTAATCAGTCAAACTGGCCCGCTGTTTTGTTTATCGCTGAGATCGCCTTGCGAAACCACTCGTCTCGCTGTTTGCGAATATGATTGCCAATTGACATTTGCTCATAACTACTAGCATATAGATTCTGCCATTGAAACTCCGCCATTGAGTGTGATATCGTTATTATTATTATTGTTATTGTTATTGTTTTTAATACGCCAATTGGCAATGCAGGTGTCAAGTGTCAACGGCGCATCCTTGTTTTGAAGATGCAATCGCTTCCGCTGCCATAAATCTTCCCCAACTTGACTGATGATCAACATTTGCTTAGGCAAAATAAATAATAAATAATGAAATACATTTTCGGGGCGAGTCCCGGAGGCAGAGATAAATGACGGTTCAGTTGGATTTCGATCTGGTTGATAAGACAAACAAACCAATTTTATAAAGCGAAATTGAGGAAGGTTTCCTAACCCCTTTTTCTGCATGTGTGACAAGACATTCTCATAACATCTCAGTGTTTTCTGAATCAACCAAAATGCCGGGGACAACGACTATTATTAAAACATAATTAATTGCAATTGAAAGCTTGCTGCCAGGCAGTCTGGCTGACAGACGCATAATTAAAATGTCATACTGGTTGCGTGCACAGTGAAGCTGTGAACGGCGAGAGAGATCCATTAACAAATAGCGGAACGAAATTGGAACACGAAATGAAAATCAGAATGATATTTGGTAATGACCAGCTTCTCCTTCATCATTTTGTTTAATGGCTAGATGAAAATAAGTCAATAAGCCAAGAGCAACACGTGTTTGCATGAATGAATGGCCAATGTCGTAAAATCATAAAAAGTTTTCATTAGAGAAACGTTTTTATTCTTATGCTAAACCGATTCATATGCTGATCAATCTGCGCTTGTTATTCTTTCAGATTATTTCTTTTTTGTTTTTTGAACTTGTGCCGGCACAGAAATTGATGAGGGTTTCTTGGGCCTGGGTGGAGGGAATTGGGGATCTCGGGAACTGGGATATATATGCGCACACACCTTCATTAATTCGCTTTGGTAGCCAGCGTTTTTTTCATTAAAAAGCCGTCAGCGTACAATAAATTTTGACCATTTTTTGTGATCTGGTGGCTTTTTCTTTCTTTTTTTTTATTTTTATTCACTTTGAGCCTGCTGAGCCGATTTCGCCCCGGCTCTTTATAGGCTTCATTATGGCTCCGATCGCTGTATGTATTTATTTTGCCCAGCCAGGCGACAGAACATAATTTTAACGCTCTTTATCGCGCCGCGCCGCTGCGCATGCGCACCACTCGACACTCGGTGCGAATATTGATTTATGCTTCGATTTCTTCTGTTTTATTTGCCAACTTCGAAATGGAAATCAACCGAAAATTCGCATTTAAAGTTTGTTAAACTAACTATATCAGCGCATTTGATCTTTAGCCTCTGGTTGGTTTGACATTCGATGAATTCATAAAAGCGACACAACAACTTAATCAAAGCTAAGCACCTATCATAATTTATCAATTTCTGTCAGCCGGAAAAAACAAAAACAGAAAACAAGCCGAAAGACAGGAGAATACAATACTCAAATTAACAAAACTATTATTATTACTGGTTGACTAACGGTGCCAGGTTGGAACCATAGGTGGTCCGGTGATTATAACAAGCCCGGAATATATATTATATCTCGAGTATATATCTAACTCTGATTGGATGAGACCCTAGTTATGAACCGCCACTTGATCGCCTTGAGAACTTATTTAAGCTTTTCGGCTGCCACTGTACGTTCCATTTAATGGCATCATAATAGAACATACTTAAGCCAAAATGTATCTATTATCTGGGGATCGTCTGCCTGCTGGCTCACGAAAGGTCAAAGCGCGGAAGTTCAGCAAAACCCGAACGGGATCGCGATGAATAGATACAGAATGAGATATAATCCAAATGTGAGAGGAGCTGGTAGCCAAAGAACACTGTGGGAAAATCATAGAACATGGAATTAAGATCATATTATTGTAATAGAAAAGAAGATATTAAGAATTGATACCAAGAAAACTTCAAAAAGAATTTTAAAGTATTCAAGAATACTAAATGAAAATCATATTTTATACAAAACATGGGGTTTATTCTCAACATATTTCCCCTGAATGTAAAAGTTTTTTCACTGATTGCAATATAGTTTGACGGCAGTGTAGGGGAAGTACGGAAGTCTTGCGATGTTTACGCCAAAGACTTGAAAGGTTTAATCTGATTAGAATTAACCAGTTCGGAAAACTTATTAGAGTCACTAAAAGATAATGAACGTCATAAATTGTTAGTCCCTCTATTAAATAAATAAACATGTTTGGCTAAGTTGGCATAGCTACTAGAAAAACATTACAAAAACTTAAACGTCACAAATGTTGCTAACTACGTCATAGATGAACCTGTTTAAGAACTTTTACAGAAGCCTTAACGTCATTAGCGGTATTAATTACAGGCACGTTTAGAAAACTATATTTCTCAAAAGGCTCGAACGTCATTAGAGTTTCTAAGTACCCATTTTCCCTAGGGTAGGATTAAAAGCAAAAGCGCTAAATTTAATAATTCTTAATTAGCTTGAAAACTGAACTAGAAGCCGCTGTCATTCGCATAACTCGTTTGGACAATCCGATCGGTTATGCTGGAATGACAAATTATGCATAATCAGCCTGCCAGACGAAGATGAAGTTTCACAGAGAGATTCACACAATTAACGAACAGATTTATATATTTTTCTTTCAAACGAGACCAGGGAGTACAACAAAGGCAATTCACCATACATATGCATGAGGTGTGCCGCTGATTCGAGAGAAAAAACAAAATAAGATTGATGGTTAGGTGTTGTTAGATGTGTTTTTGTTGAGGTCCCAGGATCCAATTATGCTTCTTTAGGCTTTAACGGCTCAACCAACTCCTCTTCGATTGGCTGCCTTTGGAAACGACTGATCAAATCCACTATAACCAATCCTCCAATCACACAGAATCCGACTACATATAGATAGAAGATAGGACTATTGGGGAAAGAGTACTCCTCCTGCCAGGACCCTTTGAAACCCATTCTCTGCATGTCAATCAACGATGTTCCCATCGGCAGCCACTTGTTTACCATTTTTCCCTTAAAGGTGGTTGGTTTTTCGGCACCGAATCGCCTGGATCGAATTCCCATCTGCTTGGTCCGTACGGCGGACTGATACTGTGACCAAGCCGTACAGACATGTCTTCCCGTGAATATCGCTTCCGAAGGATTTACCCTCTGGTGCTTCATTCGCAATCGGGAATCGTAGATCTGCCTGGAATTGTGCCTATGAAGCGTCTGATAGGCCTCACAGATCTTCATAAAGAACTCCGAGTCACACGTCTGGCTATTCGCATCTGGATGGTACTTCTTTGACAGCTCTATGAAGGCGCGCTTGATCTCCCGGTCACTAGAACCCACGGGCACGTTCAACACTTGGTAATGGTTCTCGATCCGTGGCTGCGACATTGGATGATGACTGTGGTAAGTGAAGCGGGAGCCATAGCTGGCCAGGCAGCGCACCGGTTGTTGGCCGGCAAGGGTCTGTATGGTCCTCAACATTCACGTAAATTTTGCAAGTCCCAAACCGTTATACTACAAAATCGAAATTTTTAAAACTCTTGCTCTCGCATGAAAAAAAAAAAATGTATATTTCGGGGTTTTAATTTATTTGACTGCTCAACAGCTGTCAACCAATCTGATCTTGATGTGTAGTGCGTGTTGACTGAACAGGAATACCACCTGATCAAAGTCAAGTCATTTATGTTCATTACCTAAGATGGCTAAAAACTTAAATAAATAAATCAAATTAAATGATAGATTAACATAAGTAAGTATATGGAGAAGTTCTTAACATTCATCGATCAAAAGATTGGCATAGGAAAATAATGATTTATTAACATGAAAAATGATTAGGAAACGAGAAATAATATTTTTTAAGATTGTAGTATTATCCACTTGTAGGAAATTATCTGCAGCTTACTGAACGATTAGCAAGTTGAAGAGCATGCAAATTTGTAAAGCCCAATCTGACTCACCGAATGTCCCCCCCATATTTGGCAACAAACAAAGTTTATCAACAGCCCCGAAATCGATAAAAGATCGACCATGGGCTATATAAGCAATACCATGGCCAATTCTGTAAAGAGTCGCACATTTATTGTTTGATTTGTGGGCCAATATATATATATATATCTTTTTCTGACCTTCCGGAAGTGCCAACGAACTTGGCAATGAATCTTCCACGCTTGGAGCGACGCGTGTGCTCTGGATTTAGCCAACTTGTTAACCCGATAACTTATTATGTTACAGAGCCAAGTTAAGTATTTGGCCAAGAAGTGCCAAGCAGTGTGTGGGTGTTATCTTCGAGGCAACTGGGTCATTTCTCTCTAGAGACATAAACAATTCCATTGAACTTGGTTTTTTGCACACTGCGTCAGCGGTTGGGTTTTAGATTACGTCGAAGGCGGTTCAAAATATTTGCACATCGAATTACTATAATTGTTTTCGATGGGACATTATACGCAGCTTGACGTTTTCCGTCGAATCACAATATTTGCAGAGCGACTCATTTATTCACTACGAATTAGTGTGGCCATAAATGGGCATATTAATAGAGATGCTGCAGTTCATTGTTAACCGGTAAGCTATACCCTTAAAAAAGGTATATCATTTACAAAGAAATAAAATAAATATACAAAGATATATGAAAAATAATGCAGAAGATTATTAATCCTTTTCGGATAAGATTAAAAATAGTTTTGAAGATGAAATCGTTGACTTTTATGTAAGTCTAAATATGGTTAACATTTTAATAAATGTGTATAAATATTTGATAATTAAAAAGTTATGAAAACTAGTAATAAAAAAGATAGTAGATTTAAGTACCTATCTTTCTAAGTGTACTTCCCCAACCCACTGGTACGTTCCAATATCTGACTTGACATCATTTGTGGACAGCATATGTTGGCCGGGAATGGAACCCCACCTGCTAATTGGTTTCAGTTGAACGGGCCGTGGCTCGACACCTTCTCGAAGTCCCAGGAACAGTGACCTCGAGGCGGCGAGTTCCCAAAAAACATATCGCGAAAAGCTGTGAACATTTAATTGGAATTGATTAAGCCGCCGGTCCGGTTGTGGATGGGCAGGTCATTAGTGATTGGCGTCTTTAAATGGTTTCAACTTGCCCGAAATCCCCTTCTATTTATACTAGATCAAAGGCTTTTGACCATCATTGTCATCGCTCCCGAGTCACTGTGCAAGTGGTGGATCTTTTTTTGCCAGCATCATTTGGCCACAGCCCATATATGTTAATTGACACTAACAATTTGTTCCAGCAAGACGGGCCATCTAGCCACGTTTCCGTCGAAATTACCATAGCCAAACGCAGTTTGGCAGGCGAAAGCCTGTCCAGGCCACCAAATGCAAAACGATAATTGGAAACAGGTTCTGTTTCTATTGAAGAATTAGCCGGCCCATCCCCATCACCATCGCCATCCCCACATAAAAACCGAATCGAAGATTTACGACAAGTGGTGACTGGTTGTCTCCGCCGTGCGTTGGCTCATTTATCTGGCCAAAATATATATATATACTAAATATAAGATGCCCCTTTCTTCTCGGCTTATTATGACGGGGCCAAGAGTTTTTCATTGGACTGTCTGTTAGCCAGTTTACGAGGGTTTCATGCGGGGCTCCATGCTGGGTCAATGGACAGAAACGCTGCCAAGAAGTCTGCGCCGGCTATGGCTCATCGATTCGTTTCGATACGATACACGTTGTCTTGGATTCTGAAGTTGGTTGGTTTATCGAGTCACAGCACGGCATATGGCGAAATTTAAATTATTCATATGTCAGGTTGAAGGCTGCTGAAGCTGCTGCTGTTGCCTTTCGCGTGTAAAAACCTATTTGATCGCAAGATGAAATCCGCTCGGCGATTGTCCGCGAATCAATTAAAACTAAGTAATGGCGTATGCGAAACCGGCTAGAAACGGAAATAGCCAGAGTTTTGCATCAATCAAGTGGAACAATTTTATTGTATTTCTTGTGAATAGTTTAAGTGAGGAAGTACTAAGTTTCCAACAGTGAGGGTGTCCAGCACATGTCCTCCATCAATATCTTACAAAGCTACTCAGTTTTCAACTGCATTTCGAAGCCCTGGGATTTTTGCATTCATAAATTCGTCTTAATTTTCACATGCTATCTTTTCTTATCAAATTATTATCACTGGTTCCAGTTGCCTTACACTAACTATCCTTCAATCAGACTTTCTGTTGCTTTCCTTGGAAGTAATATGAATAGTGCCCTGATTAACTATAAACATTTGGTGAGAGGTATTTATAATGTCACTCCTTTTAGCCACTAATTAGCCAGTTCTTTAGGTAGACAAACGCTGAGGTGGCCACGTGCGTTATCTGCTGCGCAAATTCTGCAAGAGAAGACACAGAAACATCATAAACTTTACTAGATATGCCGGGCATAAAGAGACTTAACGACTATGTACTCAAATACTCAAATAAACTGCTCGCCGACTGCAATGCTAATTTGCATTAACAGAGCTGGCGGCTCTCTCAAGTCACCGACCACGTTGGGCGCCAAACTCTAATGACCATGCATCCTCATGTTTTCATACTCTTACTAACTTAAGGTCAAAGCCTTTTTGGGGATTTTTAAAGAGTTTAAAAACTTTTTATTTAACTTTGAAAAATATCAAGATTGATCTTCTTTTTACTAGGAAACATCTGGCTAAAAGCGAAAAATTTGAGTTTACTCAAGTGTGAAAAGGCAAAAACTTTTTATTTATGTGCTAACTTTAATAAAATTTATTAGTTTGAAAAATAATTTAGTTTAAATTAGGTTAATTGCTTGGAAAGAAACTTAAGTTATATACTCGTATATTAATATTTTTTCTGGAAATCTAAAACTCAAAACAGACTTTGCTGATCAAAGTTACTTTAAACTTTTATTTTATAAAGCTTTAAATTTTGAATATCTGTTATAATCTTAATATCATCATCATCTTAGAAATGATTAAGATTATGATAGAAATAAATTTGTTAAAAAACTATTTTAAAATAATAAGGAAAAAAATGAAAAAAAAACTTTAATATAAACAAATTAACAATAATTATTGCCAATATTCCATGATAGGGTATAAAATATAGAGAGTTATTCCTGAGACCAGATAGACTATCCATAATGCTCAGGCTTAGTCGCGGGTCCGGGCACACTTTAAGTTTTATTACGGGCACGAAATGGCGACCGTAAAAGCAGCCCTGAACCCTGGAACCAAATTGACAAATGTCGGCACGCAAATTAGGGAGACGGTGGGCATTTATGGGGCACCTTTCGTTTTAATTTGCCGTGATTAATTTACATATTTCGGGCCCTGCACTCAGTATGCGGAAGTGTCTGGGGCATAATTGTGGATTTATATGCATCATAAATAAAGTTTTCTGCACTTGGGCTGGCTTACCGGGCAGTAAATATGCGATTTTATTTGGTGTTTATCATTTCAGTTTTTATTGATTTAATGCAAATGCAGATGCAAAGTGCCGTGTAATTAGCAGCCACTAAGTCGGCAGTGATAGAGCTGTTGTCTCCGATGAAAAGTCGCTTCCTGAAGCCCATTATAATGACTTACTGCGAAAAAACATTTATATATATATATGAGCAGATATGCAAGTGGAACATGAACGAAGGCTGCGGGGGGGGTTGGAAAATGGAAATAAAAGCGGTTTGCTGTTTGTTTAGTACATGATACATGAGTTTTATTTGTATTTTACTTGTATCCATCTTGTATCGATATACAATATATTTCGTAATATAATTTCACTTAAATTTTTGTATTTTTAATGCTGTTGCTGTCAATGCTGGTTTACAAATTACATTTTCTCTTGGTAGTTTTCTTACTTTCTCTTGAGTTTCAGTAATCGTATTACATTTAGCATTTCAATTGTGTTTTTCCTTTTTTGAAATTTTCTTTGTTTAGCAGAATTTGTTTTTGGTTTCGATTATATGTAGTAGTATGTATATAATATTCAGTAAAATGATCCCTACATTTTGTATGCTCATGTCATATTTTTCAATCTAGATGTATGTCTGTATATATATATATATTTATATATAGTTAATATCTTAAAACAGCAATTATGTTTTTTTGTTTGCATATGTTATCTGTCGTCTGGGCAAGGTCTGTGCCTCCTGAAATGAATTTGCATTTCGTCTTCCTTGAATTTAAAGTAAGTTCTGCGACAATAATAATTATAATTTAATCGTTAACAACGTTCCGTCATTGACACACAAACAAACTTTTTCATTAAACATTTAATAGAATTCTGCATTGATTTAGCGTTTTTATTCGGTTTTTGTATTTATTTACTTTTGCTGAACACTAAAGCATCGCCATCAAATGATATACATTTATACTATTCAAATTTGGAACACAAGATGAGGACTTTTTGGAGCTGCCATTGTACTAACTGTATGTGTTTTTTGGTTTGGCTTTCTGGTGTCTGTAGCCACTTTTATGAGTCTCGATTTATTAATTTTCGATCTGCTCTTGACTTTTGCTCTTTTGCATGGAACAAAAGTTGTTTTATTTGTTATTTTTAGCCACCTTTTAACTTTATTTGCATTAGTTGAGATGCCCCGACTTGAGTATTTGTTTGCCATTAAGTAGTTTTCATACCCATTACACATTACTCAAATCGGGCATTTGTCTCTGAATCGGTGTTGTTATGAATGTGTGTGTGTGTGTGTGTGTATCTGTGTGGGCAACTACATATAAGCTAATCCGTGTGCTCTAAGTCAAGAAAGAAAGAAACAAAATTTCAAGCGAGTTTTCGAAATAAGATTTGGGGAATTGAACAGAAAATGCTTGGCATGATTAAAAGCTAACAGTTATAATTACAGTTTTTGTTGCTTAATTTTGTTTTTGTTGTTGTTATACTTTTACCTTTTTTTTTTTGTTTTATTACCACTAACAAGTAAGAACACATATTTAACCACAATTTGTTTTTGTTTTATCCGTTCTCTGGCTTGTTTCTGCTTGTATTGTGTTTGCTTGCTGCTTAATTTATACAAATTGCCTACTTAAAAAGTCATAAATCAGAGCCTTACTGCACACCTGCTGCTTTCGAGTGTGTGTATTTTTATATAATATATATAATATATAATTAAACTAAATAAACAATAGGCCATATATTGATATGTATTTGATTTTTTATACATAAAAGACTCTGTATTTTGTTTTTAATTTACTAAACCTTCACTCCTTCTCTACCCTTTTAAGTCTAATTGTGAGAATTCTTGTGATGTCAAATGCATTTCTGTGCCTGGTTTTTTTTCTCTTCAGTTTTTCCTTTTTAGTATCATATATATTTCAGATTTTTGTTTATTTTTTAATTTCCGTGAATGTGTAGTTTGTATTGTATTCTATTGTATATAGCAATCAACATATTTATTACATTGTACAGAGAGTTTGTCTACCACCTAGATTTCGATTTTATTATCAGATGTCGTAGCTGATACAATTTTTAACTTGTTCTTAATACACAATAAACAAAAACTTGAACTATGCTTTTCTTCGTCATTTTCGGTTTGAGTTTCGCTTTTATTTTGCTTCTTTTTTATACAAAACACAAACACAATAACCGTCTAAGGATGCTGCTCATGTATTTCCTATTCCTATGCTTCGTCCTTCTATGAAGAGTGTGTTGGTGTAGTTGTGAAAGAATATGCGTGAGTTTGTGTGTGTGTGTGTTAGTGTGACCAGCATGCTTTCATTATTATCATTAGAATTAGAATATGAGTGTTTCCATTTCCTTTTCGATTCGTTTTTATATATAAATTCTTTTACAATTGGCAGACTACTACAGCAAAAGCACACTGAGATGTGTTAGTGTGTGTGACAGTGGGTGCATGTGTGTGTGAGTGGTTGTCCTATCGATTTAATATATATATATATATATTTTTATATAAATATACTTTATAAAGATGACCTGGAAGAACCGCAACGAAAGCCATAATCTGTACAAATCATACGAGTAGCGATTAGTGCACGTTCACCAAAAAATGAGACGACGAAGTGTCCATGTCCATGTCCATGTATAAAAATTTAGATCTATAAGCATAACACTTGGAATTTGTCTTTCATTCGTTTGCTCCTTTGCTTCTAAGGCGAAATATTATATTGTCAATTCTTTGGCTTGAGCCGAAAACCATGCAAAATGACAAAAAAATATTCCTAATTTCGGGTGAGACGAAAATAAGGGAGGGGTGTATCATTTCTTTTTTCTTTGAAAATGCATATTAATGGTAATATCAACGTAGTCGTAGAATGAGTATTTTTCACTTCTCGTTTTTATTTAATCGTTTTGTCGAAGGCAGAAGGCATAATACACGGTAAACTCATGTATTTTCACTTTGATATTTATTAACTCTATGTTCTCTGTGAGTGGACGCACAGTTAAACACTGCCGTTGGTGACTTTACAGGACCCCCACCTAACCTTGGAGGCTGGCCAAATGAGAGAGACTTTTAAGTACAGGCAGCACTCGCTTTGGCCCACTCAAATCTCTACTGAATGGATTAACTATCAAGTCTAGTCTTGGAATCGGTTACTTTATATATACCTAGATTTATTTACTTTTTTTAGATTTTCTTTTTAGATTTTCGTTTTGGTTTCGGTTAAGAGGCGAACTTGGTGCAATTCATAGGGATAGGGGAGAGGGATTAAAGCTAGTTATCTTGGAGTTCGTCTCACACACTTTCGTCGTGTCCACAGTTTTAGACAATGGCTTAGTACAAAAATTTTTTAAAGTTATTCATCGTTTTGTTTAATATCTCCATTTTAAGCAATTTCGTTTTTTTTTTTACGTTTTCATTTAGCTTCTTGCATGGTATAAAAATATAAATGTTCCACATATACATAAAAAATCCTTTTTTCCTTTTATTTAAGTTATTAATTCGCATCATGCAGTGTTATTATTTTGTTTCGGTATCGCTTTCGGTTTAGTTGTCTTGTTTTTGTCCCTTTTTTTCAGAAGTATTTTAAAGTAATGCATATAACTTAGGAATGCCTTGTGGATCTGCTGATTCTTCCGATTCTATGCTTCTCGCTCAATTCGCTTCTAGAATTATTCGTTAATCGCGGTGCAATTGTCGTATAACTATGGGTAGATTTCTAAGTGAATGTGGCTTGCTATCGTTGCTTTGCATTGGTGTCGAGTACGAGTAGTATCAGATATAACGGAATCGAATACAGTGTCCTAAGGTGCATTCGTCACATAAATTTTCCTAGTTGCTACAGTTGAAAGCGAACATCGCTCAGTAGGCCTTCGACCACAGTACATACCTAATACAATACAATAATCATTGTTTATTTAGTTTTAGTTTTTGTTTTTCATTTTCCATTGGTTTAAGGGGTTCTCTCATTTATTGGTTTTGGGTTTTTGGTTTTTGGTTTTTGGTTTTAAAACTTTCAAATGTTAGCAAACAGTTAATGTTGTGGTTGTTCTTCATAAGTCTAATACTTGTTGAATCTCTATGTATTATCAGATAGTGTGTGTTTTTGTGTGTGGTATTATAATAATTGTTGATAAAAATAACTTAATTAATATCAGTGTGGCTTACCTTAGTAAATTTCGAAAGTTTTTCGATTTTCCATAGTTAATACATATTGATATGCCTTTAATACGATTACAGAGTACGGTTACGATTACAGATTACAATTACGATTACGATTACGATTACGATTTACTTAGCTCATCATTTAGTCTGCGAGACACACACTGAACTCTAGGGTTGACAATGATCTTCATTTTCTGGATTTACGTTTTCGAACAATATTTATTTATAGATATAGACATACCAAGTACATATACGTTACTCATTATACAAATACGTTTTGTGTTAATCATTGATCCAATTTCGCTATGTGTATAAAATTTCTAATTACCATTATTCAGTATTCTCCCATCCTCCGTCCAATAATCTCACTAAGCCAATTTTGTAAAACGTTTAGTACAAATACAATAATATACTGATATGTTTTGCATTATATAAATATCATCGTCGTCGTCCTCCTTCTCATCTGTCTCGCCCGCAAAAACTATGTTTTAACCTCGTTTTTCGATTGATTCTTTATTACAATTTATCAATTTGTTCCGCTTTTGGTTGCCTCGAAAAAATTTGTCCTAGTTAGTTTTGCTCGACTTTGGGGCTACGCACAGTTAGTTTAGGGTTTTAAATTTTTTCTCCTAATCAAACCAATGCCAATTTTTTTGTACAATACAATTGTTGATTTTCCGAAAACTTCCATTTTTGGGGTTTTTTTCTCATAAGAATCTTGTGTTGTTACCAATTTTCGTGTGTGGTTTTTCCTTGGGAAAGTGAATCGAAATCAAACGAACCCTCAACCTAAGCATGAAACCAATGCAATTTGGCCAAATATCGTTAGGCAACAAGGACTTTTCTTCTTTGTTTTTCTCTTTTTTTGTTTAACTGAAAGCAAAAATTGTGCCATTAAATGCGCTCAAAGATCGCTCAAGAAAGTGGGCGTGGCAAAAAGTGTCTGTCATCTGAGCTAGTTTTCCGTTCATCTTCGGTAAACGTTTTTGGTTTCTGTAAACTTTGTTTCTTTTTGGCAAAATGACAAAGATTTTTGTTTCTATTTGCATTAATATTTATCAAAAAATGTCCGCCCACCCTTTGGCCAATTCGTTTTCTGTTTTCTATTCAAATTAAGCATTTTAGCATTGTGCTACACAAAACAATTTTTGGTTTGGGCCTGGCCTATGGCGCGTGGCATGTGGCATGTGGCTACAGTGGTCTCTGGAGTCTCGGCAGCAGTCTGGTCAGGAGATATATAGGAGTCCTTTGAAGGATCCTGCCCGGCCCAGCTGTCTGCCGAAAGGGTGCGTAGAGCTCTAAGTTCAATTTACAAATTTTCAGCAATTGCCATCGACTTGCTCAAACCGATCCTACTAAATTCCGTAAACAAATCTTCTGCTACTACACAAATGTCTGCTGCGCCTACAAAAAATTTGGTTTCCTTCCGTTGCTAAATTTTTATTAATATACGTGTTCTAACTTTAAGTGTGTTTGTGTTTTGTGGGTGTGGTTGTGATGGGGTGTTTTCCAGTGTGTGTGTTGGTTTGCATGTCTGGTCACTTCCGGCAGTGGTTTTCTTTTAGAAAACCCCTTTGGTTCGCAGTGCAGCGCAGATGTAGATCAGAGCAGCGATTCCCAGGAGTGGGAGCCTCGGGGCTATGGAAGCACTTCCCGAATCGCCATCGCAGGCTGTTCCTAGTCAAAAAGAGAGAAAAAAGGCGTTTATATTCAATGAAAAACATCAGATTGATCAATAATGATTGTTTATGTATGTGGGAGGTTCTGGAAAAGGTTCGTCAAGGCATAAACTACTATTCTTCTCTGAAAATTGTTCATATCTAGAGCTCTTTTATCGTTCAAAAGCCATCACATTAAAAGCCAAAAATGATAAGGGTATACGGGAAAAGTAGAAAAGCATTTGGTTTTCAGTGCGAGTTTCGGTGCATTGGAAACGATAAAAAAGAAAACTTTTGGGAGAATTTCACGCCAACTTACCTTTTGGACCGAGAAAAAAGTCCCTCAGAACGGCCTGCTTTGCATTGTCATATCATAATTTTTTACATTTATGCAAGCACACATCGGTTTAGTCAAAATTCGTGTGCTAATTCATTCGAAAGTTGTTTTTTGGCCACAACAAAACCAGACAAGATACAAACTTCAAATGGCCCGGCCGGCGATCGGATTTCAACACGCCAAACCAGGCCCAAAGACCGGCAAAGTGTTCAGTATTCATTTGTATTTCTTTTAGCTCCCCCAAAGTACAGGGATAACTTGCTCAACGACTTATAATTTATAATCCAAACCCCACCGCCGCCCCCGCTCACGCTCCCAACCACCATGTGAAGTGCAAGTGTGCAAAATGTATTAAAATCAGGAAAGTCAATAAAACAAAGCGAATCAAATCAATTTCGAAATCAATCTTCAGCTTTAGAGCTGGGCCATAAATCGCTTTTATAATATCCGAATTGTTCATATTTCTTGAGCCACTCTGTCGCGTGCATTTAATTTTTGCTAATTTGAATTTAAAAGGCTGACCAAACCATAGATTATACGTTTCAGATAATGAAGAAATAAATTGGCACAGCGGCCAAACACAAAAATCCACATACAAATTAAACACGACGAACATACATATTTGAAACACGTGTCGCTAAAAGCCAAAAAACGAAACGATATAAGACATAAAAATAACAAAAAAATAACAACAAACCAAAGTGAAAAGGCATATACCATACATTTATATACAAATGCAAAAGATATTGTATCTACAAGCGCTCTTCAATCCGTATCTCAACGCGTGCGGCTGAGTTATGACACGGCGATCGTTTATTTATCTCGGCCGGTGACATTTCTCGATTCCGACGGTGCCAGCGTGTCTGGCACAAAAAACACAGCAGGACAACAGACCCATAACCACCACTGACCACCGACCACCGACCAGTTCCAGTTCCCATTGTATAAGATTAATACAAACTAGATCTTGGGTGAAATTTTAAATGGCCATTAAGGCAAATGGGAAGCATTGTTGGCAAGCGCTTTTGACCATAAAGAATAAACCGCTACATATACAAATGCAAATTAATTAATTTGCCAGAAAGAAAACAAAACCAGTTTGCTTTTTGATTATTTTTTTTTTTTTGAGGGGAGGTGTGTAGAAAATGGGCTAAGATCTTCGGGTGCTAAGTGGCAACTTTTACCGCAGCGAGATCAAAAGTAGAGCTTGTATGTGTATATATATATATATATATATATATATATAACCAAATGATCGATTGGAGAGATATCTGCATTAAGAGAGGCTTATATCTGCATTCGAGGTTTATATCTCCCAGTTCGTTCCCCCAAACTCATTTGCATATTCGATCGATTGGATTTATGTAAAACTAAAAACCAAAATTAGCTCCTAAAACCAACACGGTTAATTAGCATAAATTAAGTTTTTATTAATTTGTGAGACAGTAATTTTCTTTTGTGCCACTCATCGATTTGCTGATGAGGTGACTTTTGCGAGCCAGACTTGGTGGCGCGGTCCTCTCGCCGATGGTGATCTTTCACCCAAAACCCATCAACTTTAATGGCCCCGCAACTTTTACAGCCTTAAGTGCAAACATATAAAAGCCGCGACGCCCACCAAACTGGCTATTTAAACTATATACCTAGAGACATTTCGTCTTTTTATGGGGCTCGTCATTGATCATTGTCAGGGCCAGACTTATACCTCATACCCATACGCCATATACCATATACCATATTATGGCTGATGCATATTTACATTTCTTTCTCGGTCAGTCGTCCGATCTGCCTCGCAACTCATTTCCCTGATTGATGCGCACATTTTGAAAAGCTGACGGGGCCATAAATAAGAAATACGGACGGCGGCGAATGATGCTACGCATAAATGAAATAAATTAAAAAGCATAACTATAAAAATCTTTCACCGAAAAAGTCGCGTCAGCCACTCTGACTCACGAGTGCCACTAACTAAAAAAAGGAAGGAGCTTAAAAGGTTTTAACTCAGAAGTGCAGAGAAAGAAAAAGTTTTGTAGAAACTAACAAACGTTCTTATCGTCAAAAGGAATAAATAAATATTATAAGAATAATGTAAAAAATTCTTGTATAGAAAATATTTCTGAAAAAGAACTAAGTTGAAGTGCAAAAATAGAATGCAAACAGAAATTGATACAAAATATCGAAGCATAAAAAAGTATTTAATAAATAAAATGAAATTGATTTGCTGTTATTTCATTTCTCACATTTAAAACTTGTTTTCACACTATAATTTCATTAAATTTCTTTCAGTGTAGCTTAAAACCAGTCATCAATCATTCCAACAGTGAAAGTGCTTAACTTATCGATTCAGAGTCTCATTGACACTTTGCTCTTTGTCCAGAGTTTCCCGAAAGAAAGTCTTGGGATAGGTTGGCGCATCAATAGCCCTTGTCAGAGAGACATATAGTACATTATCCGCGTGAATAATCCACTTGGTTGTCATATGTTTCGCTTGACCAGCTTGAACCCGATTCAGAGGAAACCGAATCCCAGTTCGTCGCGAGGTGTGGTTCCGATGATGCCGACAGCCATTAGCAGACTTAATGCCATTTTTTACGATATATCGTAGCGAATACCAAATTTATGTTAATTGTATGCCAAACTTACACTCACAAACGAAAACGACACAACACAAGGCGATACAACAACAACAGCAACAATGAAATAAAAACCAGAACACAGAAAGAGCAATATAATGGATAAACAGAAACCTCCAACGATGACTGTACTTTCATTCACATTTGGATCAGAGTGTGTCAGGCAAGTCTATATAGTAAAAGCTAATGTCATCTCACTCACCTGCCCAACTCCTGACTTTTGGCAAGTAATCGTTCCAGAACGAACAACGTGCAGCCAAAGGACCTCTGGCCAATTTCTCGATCTTATCGTCTGTGCTAAAAATGTAGTAGACGGGATCCTCCTTAGAGAAGTTGGGCCATTCCTCGCCATCCTGAGCGGGATTTCTGTGGGAATATCGTGTTAATATATATATATCTAAAAAGCTTCCATTTATAGCAAATGAGTGTGAAACTTGACTAAGAGTTGCCATAAAAACGACCAAAGCTCGTGGTGAAAAGTTCCCGGCAAAAAGGCACACAAAACTCACCCCGTCTTGGCAAACTCGATGACCGAACTGAGCATACGCTTGCCCAGCTCACGCTCCACAGGTCGATACTGCAGGGAGTTGTTCAGCGGCTGGCCAAAGAAGTACTCAATCTCATCGCCATGCAGCACGCCCATCCATTCGCCCCACAACGAGGTGCTCGTGCGCTGCAAAATAAATATATAAAAAAGAAAACTGTGAATAAAGCCAGAAAAGCCAAGGAAAAGCCGTGAAAATGGGGCCGCCAGAAAATGAGAACAGTGCCGCGACGCTGTCGTAAACTCAGCCAGAAATTATGCAGATAAACATCTACCCTTTTTATTTATTTATTTGATTTTGCTCGCCTGCTCGCTTGGCGTTCCCTGTAAATTGTAAATATTGTCGCAGCATGCCGCGCACTGGAGCGTCGATGAAGAAAGCAAAAAAAAAACGAAAAAACACCAGAAAAACGAATGAATAAATAAGTAAACGCCTGGTCGACAGCCAGTTCAGAATTCCACCATTTCAGAGCCCCAAACTCTGGCGCCCTTGACAGGCAGCGGCATTAAACGCTCTCGTGTGGCTCCATTTCACGTATCTCCCAGCAGTTTGTACTGCAACTGTAACTGGGGAGCTGCAGAATTGCAGGACAGGCTGTTGCAATAGGTACGTGCATGGGCGACCACATTGCGTATACTTAATGTTTTACAACGGACCAATATAGTTTCTGTAACTTTTTAAAGATAAGCCCACAAAGCTTATGTATGATTAAATTTTAAGCTAATAGGGTAATTTTCAGACAATATTTTGTTATATTTAATATAAATTTCCTATATATATAGAAAAGGCAGTAATCATTTTTGATTTACTAGAAGAAATACATTTTTAAATCCAAACTTCTTTTGAGTATAACTGAATATCATTTTTAAAGCTGCCCTTCTTGTTTTTCGATTATTTAATGCTAAAGCTCATGCTTTCCAATTTCATGTATCTAAACTCATTCCCTAAGTCATTAGTAGGTTTGAAAGTTACTTAAAACTAACAAAAATGAAGTATACTTGCTGGCTTTTTTAAGGTAATACAAGCTAACCATATTGATGGCATACTTTCCGGCTATTTAGAGTTAAATTAAAGTTGCCAGCCAGCTACTACCATCTGCTGATTTACATTCTCCGGTTAAGTAACACTACATCCTCCTACCGAAATGCTAATTAGGCAATCCCCTTGTAAAATGCAATCTCATGCAAAGCGAAAAACCAAAACCCGCCAATGCGATTCTGCTTTGACCATTAGGCCTAGCCAAGAGCTGAAAGCCGAGAGCTGAGAAGGGCTGAAAGCTGAGGGCTAACCACTTAACCATTCAACTTGAGTTGGCCACAGTCGGGCTCTGGTTGAGCTGCACCTTGACAGGCTGGCAGCCAAGTGCCAAGTCGCATAATGAATAGTGTCCGGGATATGCCATGGGTAATTCTGGTAATGCGGGGCTTCTGCTCCTTCTGCTACTGCCAAGTCGGTGGAAATTTATGCGACTTGGCCGTTGGCTGTCAGGACACACGTCCCCTATATATATACATACACATATATAACATAAAAGTCCTGCAGTCCTTACGCCTTTTCGTGCAAATAATGAAAAATTGTACGTAGCCGGAGCGAGGAACTAAACTTTTTTGATTTAAGCGCAAAAATTGCAAACAGCAGAGAAACTTGGACTCGGAGGTCATAATGAGAAACGCCATGGTCGAGAGTTGAGAGGAAAGTAGTGGTACTATAGTGGAGTAAAGTACAGTGGAGGGCGGCTAAAGCGGGAAATGAAGTGGAGCAGGAGGAGTAGAACAGAAGGAGCAGTTGAGAAGGAAAACTTATTTAAGTGCCAGGCACGTTGCACGCTGCAGTAGTCAGCGTCGAATGGCAAAATGAAACAGAAACAGGAGCCGGGAAAATGGCTGGAAAATGGGAGGAAAATAGGAAGAAAGCAGGAGGCGGTGGGCTGACTGACTGGTCGGTCAAGCATGTGGCCACTGGCCGTTTGGGGCATGCCCCCACTGGTCACCAGCCAAGCAGATAGACAATCTGGCAGGCACTTTAGCAGCTGGCGACCCCATTCGCCATGCTTCGTCGCCCCATCGCGGCCCCGTTTATGGCCAAAGTGAGTTACGAGTTCTGTTGCTGCAACTTGACGGCTGTAATTAAAACTAATTTCATTTGCTTTCATTTCCATTTTTTGGTGCGGTGTCGGGGACACCAACCAACCAGCCAACTTCTACCGCCCGTCAGCTGATGGCGCTGGCCAGTCTATTGGATTATTAACGGGCGATTTGGTATAAACAATGCAGTCTATCTGGCACCCCGTACGCACTCATTTTTGCATATTGTGCAATCAACCGGAAGGAGCAACGACTCGCTGTGAAAAACAGTTTAAATATTACTCTAAACTGGTGCAAATATTGATTATAAATCAAAAGTAAAGAGCACATATTGAATATTGGTTTTGTAGCTTTTAGGAAAACTAACAAGTGGCAGATTGCTTATCAAATAGGTCATAGGTCCAATGATTGTTACATTAAATATTTTTCTCAAGAAAAGCCTAGATTTCACTGAAAAAGATAAGAAAAAAGCCTACCGCCAACTTAGTTCCACTCTGCGTATGCGTAATATTGATTTACCTACTATTGCAGTGATTTGTTCAGTCAAATTACCACTTATCATCGGTCAATATCGACTACTATTCGGAGCCATTAGTATATATGTGTATTCAAGCAATCGAAGTTGGTGAACGAAAATCAATACATTATAGAGGCCACCACACTGCGTATACGCATTGTGAGAGCTGGGTATTTATTAATCATTAGACCGATCCAACTCGACCTGCAACTGGGCGATATCAATAGAAGGCAGCAGGCAGCAAGCAGCAGGCACCGAAGCCAAAGTCGTTTAAACAAATAACTGACTGAAATTATGCCCCACACGTGCAGGGCATGCGGGCCGTGACCTCGTAAATTGAAGTTTCATTAGTCGACTTCGCTGCCCCCTGCGCCTTCACCCTCCTCCATTTCATTGGGTCGTGATCCAGTAACGATTGCCGGTCCTGTTCCCTCACAGTACTTGTGTGTAGTTGTATAGTTGTTGTGTCTGCCCGCAGCCAACCTCCTGAGCTTCTGCGTGTGCGTATAGTTTAATTGGCGCCCAACGAGGGCTTTTCCCCAGTATGTGTGTCTGTGTGTGTCTGTGCGAGGGTTCTTCACTCAGTGGTGGGCGTGTGTTGCGTGAAACTTTTGGTTACCATAATTATGGCGGCCAAGGTTGCCTTCCAGCTCAACAGCGAGCAACAGCAAGAACAACTATAACAACGACCCTTACCCCAATGGGTGTGACATTATGAAGTCCAATCAAATGGATTGCACGCATTCTGGCTGTCTTCAACAAATTGCTTGATTAATTGAAAAATACACACGAAGTGACCTGACACGCCACGCAAAATTGCACATGACAAAGGACTCTGGAGATATCTTTATCCACTGGCAGTGATTTTTCAATCATCACAATCATAACAAATACAGTAATTACGCGGAAATCACACTCGGTCATTGGATTAACTACGATCGCAGAAGGTTAACGGATTAATTGGCCAATAAAATTGGATTATAGACCATTATTGATAATAAAGAAAGGAGCTCTTATGAACTTTATTATAGTGATCAACCATAAGTTGAAAGGCAAATCAAAACGAAGGAGTTCAGCCTTCGGTAATTGGTTATTTCAAACCACTGTTTTCATAGGCCAAGTAGGGTGCGAAGAAAGTTACATACTCGTACGAGTATTTTTTTTTAATTACAATCTCAACTTTAACCTTAGCAGACGCTTGTTCATGAACTTTTTAATACCTGAATAATTAGAGACAATGAAAAATAACCACTGGCTTCTCTTCATGCTCGAGCTATTCTCGACCAAAAGCAATCAACTTGGGTTTGCTCCTGACCTCATTCTTGCCAAAGAACTTTCACTTTCTGTCCTGCAGATTAGCCGCAAGCTCTGCTTTCCGGCGCTTCCCTTCAACCCCTTCAGTGCCACACATCGGTCTTTGGAAACGCCCCGCCATCATTCAGACATTAATAATTAAGGCTCACACAGGCGCGTTGACATTTGACGCAGCCGTAACTGCTTCCGCTGGAGATGCAGCCACAGTGGAGTACAGTGAGAGAAATATTCCAACTTAAGATTGTAGATATTTTCAGAACATTCTTGTTAAAGAAAATTGTAATTTCTTAAACATTTTTCAGAAGTATTTAATAATATCTCTACTATTAATGTAACATTCAGATATAAAACTTAACTTTTCAGAAGAAAATATCCTGAACTTTCTGAGAGTAATAAACCATTCTGGTTCAACCTCAGCTGAAATGTCCGTAGTGTTGGATACCTGCGACAGTTATCCACTTTCATTCTGAACTGGACTCCTGAATGCCATTAGCCTTGTGTGCAATTTTAATGACACGCAAATTGCAGTTGCCTGCGTTGCAGTGGCTTCGGCGTGGATTTTTACGCCGTTGCGCCACTTGCGCCCCATTTGACCGCATTCCGATTGGACGCACGCGCTTCAACGCCATCTTACGTGTCAAAGCCTGAGAAATATTTAATGGCTGCCACGCCGTGCAGTTCATTTCGTTCCGGATACGGATACAGTGGAAACCCCCTCATATGGTACTCACGTGTGTAAAGTAGTAGTAGTGCACGGATGCGCCTCGCTCTGCCAGTGCCTGGGCATACTCGTTGGTGGGGCAGGTGAAGAAGTGATCGCCCACAGCGCGTCCAATCTGCTGTTGGTTTTGATAGCCTGGATTACCCTCCCAGCTGGTGTACTGAAAAACGAGATAAAATAATCTCTTTAAAGTTTTGAACTTTTCGTAAAAAAAAATTGGTGTTGGGTAACGATTTAAATTGAATTTCTAGATTAAAAAATGCTATCTTGGAATGGAATCTAACCAACAATTAAAAATAACTCCGATTTATGGCCAACTTAACGAGAATGTAGTCCCCAATCAATCATGGAATGAAGTTAGCTGTCAGTTTAGCCAATTTACGTTTGAGTGTTTCACGGGTTTTGGTTCGTTGAGAATCTCCTGGGCCATCTAATCCCGGATTCTGTCCGGGCTCAGCTGTCAAATGCATATCCACTGCTGACGCAGAATGCCGCAAAATGAGATTATCCGGCGATAGAACAGACTAAATGAATAAAGCCACTAAATGCAATTCAATCCAGCCGTCGCCGTTGACGTTGCATTTAATGTGTTTAGAACATGCGGCGATGCTGCCAGTGACACGGAGTAGTCGCACGTTGCACTAATGCACTTTGAGGGATTTTGCAGATGCACTCGGGAAAAAAAATGAACTTCTTTAGACTGTATTTTCAAGAACATAGATTCACTTCTAACTGAGCTAATGTTGATAAGACAGTTGTCTAGATAGCAAATTATATATTTTAATTATAAATAAAGCTTTAAAAATATCAAAATTTCTCTCAGTGTACTTGTCAGATGCAGTTTTCCCTGCATTGTATTGTTATTTCAAAAATTGCAAATGCGTAGTTGCGGTAAGTTACCTGGAAAATGATGGCCTCGCGTTCCGCCTGCGTTGCCTTGCCGAAAATGTTGTTCATAATTTCCAGATATTTGTCCCGCGGCAGGGCCGTGGCATCGTCCTTATCGAAGTAATCGATGAAATCGTACAGCAAGAAGTAAGTGCCTGGAAAATAGAGGAGGGAACAAAATGTTTAACCCGTGCGAGGTCATGTCATAACAATGCTAGGGTTGAGAGAGAGTCAGAAGTGACGCGAGGTGAGGGATGTTGGCCAATCTGGAAAAAACAATTACCACTACAGGCGGCGCTTCAAGATGCCGACTCACAATGGAGGGGCCGTGCCAAGGACACCGCGCTCAGCATTAACCCCAAGTCCTTATACCCAGCAGTAGCAACACCAACAGCCAGGCACATCAGCAACACCTATACCAACAGCAACATCAACAGCAGCAAAAGCAGCAGCAGCAGCAATCATAACAGTTTCAGAAGCCGTGGAGAAGTAAGTGAAAGAGTGCAAAATAGAATAAACCAAAAACTTGTGCCCACTACAAAAACAGAAGCTTGAAAAGAGTAGAACATATAAAAGTCGACCAATAAATACCATTTAACAACTACTAAATTAATAACTTATTAATTTTAATAAATAGTGACTTGGCTACTCAAGTGGAGTTTTTTCAAATAGATCACCGAAGATAACTAGAACTTTAACTACAACTATTTAATATGAAATAATACAAGTATAAATTCTCAAATTTAAAACCACTAACCCCATCACTATATCAAAACCCTTCACTCTAACATTACAGGGTACCACAGGCAGGACGATAGAACAAAGCGGCTCGTCGTTGCCTTTTATTAACTTAATTTTTATGGCACTTGTTGTTGGCCCAGTTGTTGTTCTCTCTGGCTTTTGTCTTTGTCGCACACTTCAAATACGGGCCACACTAACGAACCATAATTGCTGCCTATGAGCGACAACAGCAGCAGCAGCAGCAGCAGCAGCAACGGCAGCAACACTTACAGCAGCAACATCAGGACTCATAGTCAAGTAGCTGTCTGTGTATGTGTTTGTGTGTGGGCCGTGGGCACGTGCAACCCATTCCCAATTTATCTTGCTGGGCCACTGTGTTTATGTTTGCTTCGATTCCATTAAGGTCAAAACCTTATGCAAAGCCAGGCACGAGGAGCTTTGACTTGAATTGCAAACAATCTTGAACAAGCTGCCTGAAACTGTCGCTTACCAAAGTCGATAAGTATCTTTCTCAGAAAAAAAGGGGAGAGTCAGGAAATGTATTGACATTAAAGCTGGGATCGTTATACGAAATTTAGTTAATTCTGAAATTAAATTTTGCTTTTACAACGACTTCTAATATGATTAATTTGTTCTTAAACTGTTTTATAATATGTTAATTAGGAATAATGAAATAATTTGTTTTGTTTCCAACTCATCTTGTTATAGTGAACTTATTGATTTATTAATTTAATTCCAAGTTTCTTGAGAGCCTTATAATTTGAATAACTATGTTAATAGTTTCTAGTAGGGGTCGAAACGGCCTTGCGCTTTTCAACTATTGCTGGATGTCGGGCATACGCTTTTAATTAAATTGCCAACAACACACACTCGCACACTCTGTGGCCACAAATTTCTGTGCATTTTTCTGCGGGAAATCTCACTCACTCCCTTACATACACACAGGCGAAATGTAAATACGTTTTTAATGAGTGTATAATTGAGTTAGCAGCAGCAGAAACAAAAACAACACAGCCCGGCTGATTTGGAAGAACGTTGGCCATGCTAGAGGCGGAATTCAGGACTCAGGACTACAACTACGGAGCCGGCGATAAGTTGGCCGCCTCGGAACGCGAAGCAATTAACGAGCAAACAAGCTGTCTTACACACACACAGGCAAAGGGGGTATACCCACACACACATATACACTTACTCACACGCACGGAGGATGGCATGCAAACTCGAGTCAGAATACTTGCCACCAAAAATGAATTATTTAAGCACCGAAAAGTTGGCGTCTCGAGTTCATTGCATACTTTTCGGCTGCACTTCATGGCTTCGAAGAGGAAATTTTTAATTCTTTTAAATCATTTATAACGGAGTATTCATTTCGTATTTAAGTTAATAAAATACTTATGTGACTTAAGCTTTTAAGATGTCAAAGAATTGCATCTTTGTCTTAATTTTTAGGGACAGCCCAAAAGTGTTTTAACTTAAAGATTTCAATTTAATTTTAAATATTGTTAGTGTAAAAATCAGTTAGAGGATAACGCAGCTTGATTTAAATGCACTTAATCCTATTTAAGCTTCTACGTGCATTTTATACATCGGCAAACCCATTCCGCATCCATTTGTGGATACCAACTAATTTACCAAAACCACACGCAGGACAATTAGTTGAACTAAACAAATATATTATTTTGGATAACCATTAGGCAAACACTCACCATCATTTGCAAATATATATTAGATATATATTTATATAATATCTGTGTAGTATGTACAAGGGACGAAGGGAGACCGAAATTGTCAAAAACAAACTGAAAAGGATGCTTTTATGCGCGCGGCTCATCGTAATGTATTTGAATTTGTATTCGTATTGTTGCAAATGCTAGATGACCTTGAACTCACAAACACAAACACAGAACCCACAAACACAAACCCACACACACACACACACTCGCACACACGCTCAGCTGAGTAACGGCAGTTATACCCATGGAAAATGGTGGCAGTTGCCTGGCGGCCATGCACGCACACCTTTTTGGCCAAGAGAAAATAGAAAAGAGAGGAAAAGCGGAATAGCGTTGAGAGTGAGAGCGAGCGGAAAGCAGCAGCTGTGAGCAATGAGTGAAAGTGAGCAGAAAAGCACACGTGTCTGCTGTGCTGGCTTATATTCTGCTCCTGGCAAGACAGGAGCCGCAACAAAAGCAACGGCAACCAGCAACCTGCAACACCAAGAACCCAACAGCAACATCCACTGGGCAACAGCAACAAGAAAATCGAAAGGAAAGCCAAAGCCAAAGCACGAACTGGCACAAAAGCCCTGAGAATCTTCTTCAATCTGTTATACGAAAAACACAACCCGCGAAAGGGACCTGCCACATACCGCCCACCACCACCCGCCGAAAATACCACCCAACGACATCCTGCGGTGGCGGCTCGCGAAATAATAAGAAAAGGAAAACGCAAACGGAAAATTTGTTACAAGTGCGCCACTTACACGGCCTGGCACGGAAAAGCTGGCAACACAATGCACACAAAGAGTTACGCACCAGATTGAGAAGAAAAACAGTCGGTGGATAAAAGGGATAAGGAAAATGGGGAAAATTATGGGAGAATCAACAGCAGCACTTGGCAGAAGGAAAATTTCACATAGAACTTGAATGCGATTGGCTTAATGCGAGTTTAAATTATACATTTAAATGTATAAAAAGGGAAGTTTAATAAAATTTAAAACAAACATTTGACTGAATCATACCTCTCTGCTATTTATACAATCAAATTTTAGCAGAAAGTTTAAAGAAAAGTCAATACAAAATGTGAAGCAGATTATCAAAACCAACAAAAGCTTTTCATTAGTAAACCAAACCGCAACTTTTACAATAAATATTTGAAGTTTTCACCTGCTAAAAATGTTACTTATTGCATATTATTTTTGAAATTTTATAAACCTTATAACTTGTAGTATTTCGAATACAAACATTGGCATATGAAAATTGATTTAAGTTTGTTTTCGTTTCAAAATGCTTACTACAAAATGTTGTATAGCTTTTACCAATACCTTTTAAATTTATGAGAAGTTTCTATGGGAGTTTTTAGCTGACTTTGGCAATAGCTTTTCACATTTTTCCTCGCTGGGTAATAAAAAATAATTACAGCTGAACTTTAACTCAACTTTTAGCGGTAATAGTTTGCTGGCGCTCTTTAATAAAAACCGCCCCCCTCCTTTAACTCGATAATGCTGCGGCACGTGTGGCACTCACGCGTCCCGTTCCGCCCATCAAGTTGAGGGCTCGCTTTTTGCTTTCGCTTTTCCACAGACCACCCACCGACCACCCACCCATCACACACACACACTCAGCCCAACGACCCACCGCCCCCCGCTGTCACCTGAGCAAAATATATTTAAATAATTTATGATGCCGTCCCGCACAGCTGAGCGCCATATCAGAGTGCGTGTGTGTGTGTGTGTGTGTAAGTGAGTACGGATGTTTTTCCTTTTTTCCCGGGGTCACCGCAATTTGCGTGGGCGAGTCTGGCAAGTTTCGCCGCCTTTTTTTGTATTTTTCTGTATTTTGACTCCGGCAATTCCGGTGCGTTGACACATGCCGCACTCGGAATTTTAAGTTACCTAAATTCGTAAATCGCATTTTATGGAGGAGGTTGGAAAATTTGGCAGAGACTAAGCTCCAGAAATATCTTCTCTTCTGACTGGCTGAAAGTAAATCCAACTTGCTTAAATTCTTGTTTACTTTTAAGCTTTAAGGCTTAACTTATTTAAGAACTAATTAATCAATTCTTCTAATTAGTTAATATACACCCACTGATTTTGTTAAGATAAATTATACTTGAATAAAGTTTGAACATACCCAAACCAAAGTTTTATTTACTCTTCCCTTACTTTAAATTAAAGTCAAGTTCACAGAAGTTCGTAATTTGTGTGCGAAGCCAAAAAAATGGGAGGAAAAAAAACAAAAGCCGAAGCCGGAAAAGCCAACAATACAGGACATTATACAAAGTGCAGTTTTGCGACATCCAAACCAGAACTAAGCCGAGCACAATGTAACCACCAGAACCACTAGCAGTCCTCCTGGCCCTCGAAACCCAAAACCCACGTACCCTCTAACCCCCTAACCCTCTAAACCCACCCTAACCCCACTAACCCCCTTGATTCGCCGCTGAGTGTCATGCAATAAACCATAAAAATTAAGCACTCGAGCCAACAGAAAGTACCGAATGCATTACGAGTGCTCGAAATGTGCAGAGGAAATTTTTGAAAGGCAGCCATGGCTAAGCCACCTTCTCACCCATAAAACGACAAGAATAAAATGCATTTTGTCTGCCAGCCAGGCCACAACAAAAAGTATATATATATATAGTATATGTATAGTTGGAGAAAAGTAATAAAATCTCAAATGGATGTAGTAGAGCTCCGAGCTGCAGCGTAAAAGTTTTTTTTTTGGAGGGGAGGGAAGGGCGATGTAGAAGGAAGCTGGGCTAAAAAGCTTGGCAAACAACATTGGCAATGGGTAGTACTTTGTTTTGGATAAAGTTTACCGCTGACGTCAGCCGCAGTGGATGCAACAACAATGGCGACAAGGACGACCCAGAAAAATAATGGGAAGATAGGTAGATCCCGGGATGGTCGTGATGAAGTCACAATAGCTGAAGGAAACTGCTGCATGGTCTTTAAACAAGAACACTCACCCTCATCCCGGACATTTCCCATCAGGATGTCGTAGTCCTTAAGATCCGCCGTCTTAAGCAGCGTCATAGGATCCGCCGGCAGGAAGGCACCATCAATGGTTGGCGCCGAGGGGAAGCTGAGGATGCCCGAGTAGGAATTCCATTGCTGCACTGAGATGGTCTTGGCATCCACCGAACGCATGCAGCTCATCACGTGAGCGGGATTAGTCTGGATTTAAATGGGAAATGCTCTATTAAAATGATGTTCTGTCTTAGGGAATCTGGTTTAGGTTGTTGGTAAATATGATTATATATACTATAAGGCGTGTAGTAAAACCAGAACTCAGTAATCATCACCCAACTCACCTTCAGCATGGAGGCATTACAGTTGCAGTCATTGATCAGCGCCTTGCCGATCTCAACGGCCTTTTCGGAGGTCATGTGACTCCAGGGGGCATTCATTGTGCCCGACTGCATCATGCCCCTCTTGACCAAGCCCCTCGTCACCGGCGACATGAGCTGGGCGTTCACTGAACTAGAGCCCGCCGATTCTCCGAATAGGGTCATCCACTCCGGATTTCCGCCAAAGGCATGGGCGTTGTCCTTTAGCCAGCGAATGGCCAGAGCCTGATCCCAGAGGCCCACATTTCCGGGCGCCTCCTCCGCGAAATCCGATGGCATTTCCGGTGCCAAATGCAGGAACCCAAAGGCACCCACTCGATATTGGAAGGAGGCCACTATCACATTGCCAACGGCGGCCATGATATCCGCATTGTAGATGTCCAAAGTGGCAGATCCGGTCATGAAGCCACCTCCATAGATCCAGATCAGTATGGGCAGTCCGTTGGTCGTGTTCTGTGGATTGCCGTTGTGGATGAGGTGGTCCGTGTCGGCCTGTTTTCCATTGGGGTGCTACGGAAATGAATTGGGAAATGTACAAGATTATTTCGAATATTTTATGTTAAAGAGAAAGCGAGTTTAAAATATCTAGTAGTATGATTTAAAATTAAACTAAAGAGCTTTAAATGTTTTGTAGAAATTCTGAACTTACCTCGCCCCCGTTAGCACCACGCCCATGACGGAGACGTGCCTTTGCCGGCGCCCAGACATTTATGTAGAGGCAATCCTCGGACACATTGGTATTGGGGTTCCAGATCTCCTCGCCGGAGAAGCCCGGGAAGTACTCGTAACTGGGTTCCGGAAAGGAAAGGCAAGTGAAAGAGAAGAGAGTTCTTGATTAGTTGGTGACCCATATGCAAATCAAAGGCTGTTTGTCGTCCCCATCTGGAATTCGGTCATGCCAATTACGAAAAACTAACCAGCTGTGTTATTTATTTTTATTCGCTCTCTCTTCCGTTTTGCTCGTTTTGCTCTTACTCCGGATTTTCATTTCCCCACAAACAAAAAAAAAAAAGAAAAACACTGAACACACACACACACACCTCCCGGTGCCCCACAATTTGACATAGTTTTTCCGCTTTATAAATGTTGAATCGCTCGAATCGATATCCTACGCATTCGTAGAAAGCTCAGCATTTGTCTGTCTCCGTCTCCATAGATACATTTATATACGTATGTGTTTGTATATGTATTGATATGCATGTGTGTGTGTATGCTTAGGTGTGTTTAGCTTCGTGTCCATTAAAATTAACTTTGCCGTTTCGCATAAAAGTAATTTATCACAGACGGAGAAGAAGAGGCGATTTCTCTTTATCACTATATTTTTCTAATTTCCTTTTGCGGCCCACACTTTGATGACTTTTCCTTTTGGGGTGCGGAAAAACTTTGCTTCTCTATTTCAAGAGCAAAAGTAAAGCAAACCAAAAGAGTTTGATTAAATAAATGGAATTGGAAAGACAAACATTTCTCTATACGTTATCAAATGTAACGTATCTTTAAGATTTTTAGAGAAAGAATTTAAAGATAGATTAAGCTAGTCAAGTTCATCATTCTATTTTCATAATATTTTATCATATTTTATTTTATGATATATTTCACATATAATTAAGCTTTTAAACTGATTCTGACCATCCCCATTAATCCATAAAAATATCCAAGTTACATCCTTAAAATGTTAAAATAAAATTGTTTAACTTCATTAGTCGTATCTTTGCAAACAATATATATTCTCATTTCGACAAACATTGAATGGCAAACAATGTGCGATTGCAATTGGCAGGGACCAACATGCTGAGCAAAGTTTCCAATTGGCTTTTTCCGTTTTGGCCGGCTTTTTTGCATGCGGCATGACGTCACTGGCAACAGTTAGGTCAACAGCGAGCTGCTGCTGCCGCTGCCGCTGCCGCTGACACTGCAACCGGGCTGCGATTCGCCTTTCTAGGTCAAATGCAGAAGTGGAGCGTACCACCACCAGTCAACCGCCTTTCTGAGCCCCAGAAATCCCTTAAGCCAGTGATGACAAATTGTCTTTATTTCCGGAAATATATGGCCCTGTTTTGTTTGGCTTAGCCAAAAATATTAAGTATTAGCCCCTATCTAAGCCGTTTGCTTCTGAACTTCTGTTGAGGCTATCTTATCATGAAAAATCTTTGGAGCTACTGTGGATTTATAAATTTAAAATTGGTAATTTGATTATATTCTTAAGCTCATCTATAAATTATAATGCCCCCTATTATATCTAATCCTTGAACCGCTAATAAACTTACCGCTCTTGGACGCAGGTGGCGGATAACCGTGTGGCGTCTAGAACGCCGTGCCAGGGCTCCGCAGGAACCGGTTTGCGGAAGCGCAGGTCCTCGACGGGGGGCTTGGCATAGGGAATGCCCGTATAGACATGGACTTCGCGGCCCTGCACCGTGACAGAGCGACCACGGACTGGTCCGGAGGATGTTTGCACCACCAGGCGATCCATGACGCCACAAACGCCGGAAAGGTGCAGGGATAGCACCAGAACCAGGGGCAACGGTAGGGGCAGGGGCAAGGACATGGGCAGGAGACTGCTCTGCCGTACGGATGCCATGACGCGGATGCGCAGGGCAACGATGGGTAGCTGTAGCGGTGGCTGTGGCGATGGGTAGTGGCGGTGTCCTACTTTGGCCTGACGTCACTGGCACTGACCACTTGTCTCTGGTATCTGCTATTCGCGATTCGCACGCACGATTTCTGCTCGCTGGGTAACTCGGTACGGAACTGGTGTCTCTGGCGGATTCGGGATGCCTGCCCGGCACTGCAAGCCGCATCCACAACTTATTATCCGGTTGAGTTCGCCGCTGCTGCTGCTGCCACAATTGCCACTTGAAGCTGCCGGCCGTGTGTTGCACTACACATTCTCCCGCCGCAGCAGCTTTGGAATCAGGAATCTGGGAATCTGGTAACTGGTAACTGGTAACTCGGTACGTGTCCCTCGGAACTGGATTCGGTTGGTCTTGGTTCTGAATGTGGACTGGGGTCTCCTTCTTCTACTTCTGTTCACTGCGGTTTCCTGCGCAGCTGTTGCACTTTTTGCAGCGCCCGCTCCGGCTGCTCGGCTTTTCTTCTCCGGCTGCGGCTGTGTTTGAACTGCAAACAGAAAGAACAGGCATTAAACTATTTGTCTGGGCATCCTGACAACGTATTTTTGTTCTGCGACTGCACCGGAATAAAATATAGGGCATATTTTTATTCAGTTTTAAATAAGTTTGTTAGTTCAAAACTCCCAGCCTTAAGCTTTAGATAATTATTGGATATAAATAATATTTTATAAAAAGATATAGTACGAAGGGATTTTATATGGTGTCATGTGAAGAAGATATTTCCATCTTTTTTCTTAGTGTTCTGTTACAGCTCGCACACACACACACACACATACACAAACACAAGGACGAGTTGACTTGCTGGGTGCTTGTGTCTGTGTTTGTGCATGTGTCTGTGTCGTCTGCCCCCGTTTGTATGCTGCAATATTTATGTGTTTGCCTTTGGGTTAGTGTGTGTGTTTACCACTTGAGCAGAGATGCAAAGCTGCCTCCTTTCTTGGTCTCGGTTTGCATTCAAAACTTTGTGAGTGCCACCTGTATCCACCCATCATCCCACACACCTGCACCAGGGGGAGCGGGCTGGGCCACTCACAGGGTTCTAGGATTCTCTCGAGTGGCGCATATCGCTCTCTAAGGCTTTGCCTGCAACGTCGTTAAACATATTTTCTTATATGCTTTCATTAGAGTCACTTGACCGATTTAAGCAAATATCCTTTCAAACCGAAGCAACCGAGTAAACCAATGGAACCCCAAGGCGTTTTGTGCCAATTCGAAATTTCTGGCACTGATGGAAAAGCGAAAGGTGCATTTTCAAAGGAAAAGAGGGCCTGGGAAAACCAAAAACCTTGATTTAAAGACAAACTTAATAAAAGCTTTTACATAATTTGTTGAAAGTTATCAAAGAAGTTGATTTAGAGAGTCTTAGCAAGTTAAAATATAAAACAAAATCCTAAATTTATAAGTAAGTTCAATTTCATTTGTTAGCCAACTTAAATTTTAAAGAATCTAAACGTTTTTTCTTAAAAATTTGAATAATTTTAAATAATGATAAACAAATATTTAAATTTAGGAAATAAAAAGTGTTTCCTCTTCTTGAAATTCCAATCCAAACCCTTTGTGAGATGCAATAAAATACAAAATAAACAATTTAGGAGCTCCACTTGCCTTTCCTGCTCTCTGACATTTCTCGATAAATTAAACTCGGGAGGCTGCAGTTTGGAAACAAGGAAAACGAGCCTTTCCCGGTTGGCAAATGACTTTTTGCAGCCCATGTCCTTGACGTTTTTCGAATTGCAGCAAACTTCTGGCATCGAATTAAGCCAAGGAAGTTGACATGTTTGTGTGTTTGGACTGGGCCTTGCATGCTGACAGACCATTAGACGGTCGTATAATAACACCAATGCCACGCCCCTTGCAGTTGCAGCGCCCCCAGAAGGAGTCCCCCATTGCTTGATCCCTCTGCAAAGGAGAACTTGTCTGCAAAGAAGGACAAAGGAAGAAAAGAGGCTTTCTCAGCTGGCGCCGCAGTAATTTAAATGTTATTTAGCCGCACAATTAAAATGGCATTAAGACGCGACCGAAATGAGAGTTGCACGTTGGCAATTTAATTCGTTTCTCACTCCCCCCATCCTTTTCACAAAAGTGCACATTTTAGCTAAATTAGCTCAATTTTCTCCCAGGTCCTTTTCATTTTCCCTGAGTTTCTCCTGGCAATGGTGGCAATCTTTCAGTCCAGCTTCCCGAGGGTGTTTCAACATTTGTCGCTGCCTGCTTCTGGTGAGATAAGACGACGTCCTGGCCTAAGTGAATATTTTCTTAATTTCTTGCGGTTGCAGCAGTTTTTCTTCCTTCCACTTTTTCCACGAAGAGTCGCAGTTTTCAGTAGAACTTTCCATAAACATTTTCACTTTTTTAGCCTGCGTTTGCAAGAGGATTATTTAAGAAGGGAAAAAGCGACCAAAAGTTGTATTTATCTTATTTTATTTGATGTCTGGAAGCTCACAATTTAAGCGCTTAGTTTCAGCTGACATGAACAGTTTTTCAGTTGGCCAACTGTGTGTGCTCACAAAGTTGCAACTTGAAAGTTGGCTAAAGCAGCCACTAAAATACCGACAAGAGTGTTTTAACTAAATGAAGCAGTCTTAGTTTGATTCGAGGAAACGGTAGAGAATATTTCATAAGCCTACTTTTGCAATTCATAGAAGTATGCTTCTAAGCTTGATTAATCCTCACTGTGTAAGAAGGAAAAAACATTTTAAAAACTAAAATAAACTCTTCTGAATATCAACAATTTTACAGAAAAAATCTCTTGTTATTTAAGCTTCTTAATTTATTCACAATGTGAATCAAAAGGCAAATAAAAACCTGCGTCAAAAAAATTTTAATTGAGATGCAGAGATTTTTCAGTTTGGTTTTATTGTGGCAACATATTTTCTGTATGGCATAGTTTCTCTTGTTTTGTTTTCGCTTTTCCATGGAAATCCTTCGAATGCTGCCATGGATATGATAACCCAGAAAGCGAGATAGAAATAACAGGGAAAACGAGCGTTAGAACGGGACAGTGGAGAGCGCGAAAATTTTAATGACATTCAAATTAAATTATAATTTCAAAAGTTTCGGCGCGCAGAGGGCAGTGAGCGTTGTTGATGACGACGATGACAAGGACATGACCAGGTGGCACAGGTGAAAGGCACCTCCTTACCCGCCCTCGCTCTCTCTCTCTCTCTCCCTCAATCGGGTCAGCTTTGTTGGCCAAAGGTCACAGCAACAGCAAAGGAAAAAAGGTTTGGCCTCATATACCCCGACGCCCGCCTGTTCCCAATCAACTTTCTTCATTCTCTTCATTTTCCCACCTTTCCACTTGCCCCCATCGCTTGTTTATTTCCCTTACGTTTGTTTTCAAAATTTGGCAAATGCTAAAAAACATGGCCAACGACAAAACGAAATGGTAAAAGCCAAAGGGTAAACAACACAAAAGCAAACGAAACAAAAACAAAAACCAAGAGAGAGAGAGACAACAAAAAAATGGCTAAGGAAAAAAGAAAGAAAATTCGGAAAAGCCGAGCGAGTGTAGGGGGAAAAGTTAACTGTGTTTTGTTTGTGTTTTCATTTTTGTTTACGAGGTTTTGATGTTTGGCTTTCATGTTGTTTCTATTATTTTTGTTCCCCTTTATCTGTGTGAGTATCAAGCTATGTACTATGAAAAATATTTCCATAATTTTAAAACAAATATTCTGAAAATTAGAAAACTAAACAGTACAAAAACAGGTTATCTAGTTTTTTTATTCTATTGTATTTAGGATTTACTATATAATAATACATTTTATTGTCTAAACAACATTTTCTAAGAATGAAGAAACTAACTAATACTTTAATATATAATTTAATATCTGAATCTAACATTTTGTAAAAGTAAGAAATACATGACTATAACCTTTTCTAACAGTGTTTTTGTTAGATGTGTCTGGTTTAATTGATGAGTTGAAGAGGGTAGTGGAGGCAGGCAGGCCGCCAGTCAGCGAGGCTTAATTGATACCCCCTGCTATAAAAGGTTAGGAATGAGAGACAGGTGTATATTTTGGGATGAATACCTAAAGGAATATTGGCCAAATTTGGCTGTCTCTTGTTTTTATTAAGTTTTAAAACGAACTGCAGGCTAAATGTCTTGAACAAATTTAAGAAAGAAGAAATAGAGTAAGTTCAAGTTAAAGGGATATAAACTCGTAACATGTGTATCTTGCTAAGCAAATCTTATTCAATAATTTCCGTGCCATTTCTTTGCATTCTCTCTTCCGGTCTATAAACCGCCACGCAATCATTAAACCCCGAAAAATATGGCCATCTGCTTTAATGAGGCACAATCATCATCAAGTTTTCACTGACCATTTGACCTTTTCATTTGCCAGGCAGCAGGACTCCGATCACAGGCCTTTAGCCAGGCCATTAGGCGAATGTCTGGCGCCAGGCGAACTATAAAATAAATGCTCGGGCGTGGCTCAGAAGGCGGTTGAAACCCAAGAACTAACACGTTCCCAGGAGCTTTTATTCATCTGTTAACAAAAACTATTCAGCAATAAAATAAAGTCATTATGAATAATTTTAATTCTAGAATATTCTACACCATCTGATTTGAAAAAGTTGAATTTCAATATTTATCCGAACCTTTCATTTTTGAGTGAGTCTGTGGAAAAACTACCCACTAAATCGTCGAAATTGCACAGCATGAGACCAAAAACTGAGAACAAGAGGAGGCAGCCAGTAGCGCTTAGTTTTTTATTGCATGGCGCCGCGTGTGGCGGCTGCGGCGATTGAAGTGACCCCCATCTGGGGAAGGGGCAGTGGGTGGTAAATGGGCGTGTGAGTTCGGGGTAGCTGGATGCAGGAGGTAGGTGGAAGTGGGTGGCGCCGGCAGTACGTCCGGTGCACGAGTTTGGCTTTAGTGGCTCTCGCCCGTCACCGGGGCTCGTTAACGCTGAGACGCTCAATTTAGCGCGACTTATTCAGGTTGCTGCTCCGCTTGCCTCCGCTTGCGCCCGTGTGACTGACCTTGATGATATCACCACAGCCATGTCGTCGTGGCCATCGTCATCCCAGGCCGCAGTTACCTTCCTGCTCCTCCCATCTCCTATTCCATTTCCCAAAACAACACGGCGACAAATTCTTAAAAACAATTCACTTCCGTTTAGTCCTAGGCGTATTTATAAACTACTTTATTAAAGAGGTTACTTAATATAGATAAGCTGAGCTTGATTTAATCAAAAGCTAAGACTTCTAATTATATAATAATCAAATCGTTATAAGTAAATCAATTTAGTAAGAACTAAGATGATAGTATGGTAGTTTTCCTATTAATATCTTTAATTTTTTCTCCGTGCATTCCAAGACATGTGCGAATCTCTCTCGGGCGGACTCCCAACTCACACGACAGTAACCCTCGAGCACACCGAGCCCCCGCCCCTGCCCCTACCTTTGTCCCTGTCCCTGCCCTTGGTGTCGATGTCTTGGGTCTCCTCGGCTTACCCGTGGGTGTGCTGCACTTAAAGCCAA